TGGGAACAAGCTGCTTTACTCACAACCATCTTTGGTGATTCAACTCCTCCTTGCATGAAAGTCGTAAAACATGAATTGGATTTCATCTTAATATGTATGTACTTTAGTAAAAAAATCCAATTTAAAAGTCAAGAAAGTCAAAGAAATGGTTGGAAGAAGCCAAAATTGCCAAAAAAAGAAGGAAAAAGAGAAAAAAATGGTAAAACACAAAAAAAAAACTGAAAAAAAACCCTCAAATATTTGGAACACCCCCAGGGGTGTAGTACAAAAGAGGGTTAGGGCACTGTACTCGTGTGGATCCTGAGAGGCGTTTCTGTGCTCTTTGGTGCTGACAATCTTTGCACCTGTGCCAAAAATTGACCTGTTGAGCCAAATCCTCCGCCAATGTGTCAGATTCAAGCTCTTCTTCTGCCCTTCTGGGCTACCTAGTTTTTATCTCGTTGTTTCCCACTATTCAAGGAAATATAGACAGTGTAAATTATTGGTTTTTTGGATATCCCCAGACAATACATCTCAGCATAGGAGCATAATTTCTCCTAAATCCATGCTGTAGTTCCATAATGCATGATACTAGATGATACTCCAATAGTTATCAAATTTGAAGAGTTCACAGTTCAAACATGTTGTGATACATTGATACATACAGTCACAAGTGTCGAGTAGTGCATATCATAGCTTATCACAGGCCACTGCTGGGAAATCCTCTAAGTTCCATCCACTACACAAAATCTTACCTCCAAACCCGAAGAAGCCTATGAAAGATGAATGCAGAAGGCCTATCGGATCTCAATAAGATTGTATACATTAGTGACGAATTATGCCGACTGGGGCTCACTCCCAAGGAATTCATTGCCGGATTCCTCACCAAAGACCACCCACAACTAGTTTACCGGAGACGATCTTGGGGTACAAATTATGGATCGACATCAACTTTAAACTTGGTCCAATTGATAAGAAATATATTCCTGAAGACCCAAGATGGAGCTGATCGGAGGGCTGACTTCATTCAAACAGAGGTAGGTATGTGTTACCATGGCTGGTTTCCAAATATGATTGCTGACTATTTACATTCTTTTGAGGCCAGGCCATTAGGATTTTACGTGCACAAAGCCCACCTAGTGGCTACTACCCTGGCGGCTCGTTCCAAAGTGCGGTGAATGTGACACCTGCCTTTTTTGGTGATTCGGCAATGGATGAGCGCAAAGATCGGTTAACAAATCATGATACCCCTTTTCTTTACAACATCTTGGTTGGAACGTTGGCGGGACCTGGAGCTGACGTTTTCACACTTGACAAGCTGGATGCCGACAATCCTCCAGAACAATATATTTCTCGGGCTAGCACAACAGATAATGCGCTTCAAGATCCATCAAATAAGAGCTCTGACTTGAGTCCTGACGAGGCTGAGGAGTTGATGTATGAGGGTGATGTGATCTCCACTTCAAACCCTGCACTTCAACATCGGCAGGCACGCTCCGCTCAGGTGAGGAAATTTTATAAGTTGGTTTTGGGTCATTCACATGTTGACTATTTTTGTAATACTTTGTGTGTGTTATTTCCAGACGGCTTCGGTTATATGCTCAATGATGGCATTTGCGCGAAACCGACGACATAATGGCCTGCAGCTGGCCAACTCAATTCGCTTTGTAGCTTGTGGGGTATCGGAAACCATCAATGAGTATCTCCATTACATGGGATTGACATCTTCTCGTAAGACAGCACTGGTGGCTCTACAATCTTTAGCTCGAGCGGCAGCCAACAAAATTGTTCACTCAATGGCCGTAATGGACCGTCTGGCCCCTCCACTATGTATTGATAATCTGGACATGGAGGAACGCGTTCACCTGGCCTCCATCGGGACTCAAAACCGGATGTTTCACGGAACATGGGGGTACATTCATGTTCCCTCCCAAGCGCTTTGGGATTCTCTGGACCCAAGCGAAATGACCCTCGAGGCATATCACAACTCTCTCCGTCCACTAGCCAACTTGTCAATCGAACCATCAATGTTCTTTCCAACTGATAGCGAGGACTACATGTTTGTGTGGAAAAGTCAGCTGGCCAGTGTGATGCTCAAGTATGTGGCGACTCCAGCCAACCGTGAGGGAATGATTGCAACGGAACCTCCAATCGTGGAGCAGATCAGCTTCGAGGCCCCTGAAATACACATGCTCAGGTTGATGGACGAATCCGACAATTCGGCAGAGGGAATTGGGCAAGTCATGGAAGCCTTGCAGCGTCAATCAGGGCTGGATCCTGAGGAGTTCTTTGGTCGATTGCAGCTGATGGATGGTGATCTGGGAACAGCCCAGATCTTTAATGCAATCCGATCACTTCGAAGCCCAAGTGAGCATTGCGAGCATCATCTAGATAACGTCACCTTTACGCTGGGGGCCTCCCACACTCTTTGGAATATTTCTCAGTCAATTCTCACAAAGCACTTTGGGAATTCAGATCAGATGGATGACCTGGGTGTCTGGCGATATCTGGATGCCCTAGGGATTCCCCCAGAAAAGGTAATCCAGAAGAAGGACTATACTAAGATGATTCAAGCAATGACACACGTACATGAGGCAACTATCTATCATTGTCTCCGGTCAGTTCAATTCACCGCCTTTGATTCTTTATTTAACATGTTTTTGATCAGACTTTATATGACTTCAGGTCGGTCATGGATATAGATGGTGATCCAATTACCGAAACACTCCCAGTCCTCCCCACCGCCGCATGGAACAGCATTGTGGACAAATGCTACGATAAATTCTGTTCACCCGGTGCTCGCCTGGCAGCCTCCAAGCGCAATTGTGCAAAGTTGTCTAACTTGCTCATACGACTACAGGATTTTTCGACGGTGGTTGAAGCTAATCGAGCCATGAAGGCTGGGGATGTTGGCCGATTGATTAACATTTGGAAGATGTGGTCAATCATGACCCAATCCCTCCCCGGCCTAACTCATTATTCAGCTTATCTTCCTTGACTGGTTCTAATGTTGACTCGGATCCTCCCAACCTGCTTGGCCAAGCTCATGCGACACAATCTCTTGGTCTCTCCCAGTGGCCGACCCAATCACTTTGTCCCCAAAGACTTCTTGCTTGAAAACCACAACTATTGGCTGAAATTCTTCTACACCCGAGCAGGCATTGGTACTCAAATTGAACGCCTCAAAAAGCTGTTCTCATCAAATATCCCCTTGGTATAATGCCAGATTTCTCACTTCCTCGAGATTAGAAGCCTGATGATTTCCTGACAAATCTGCCTTTTGATCCTCACATCACAGCTTCGTACGATGTTTCGATCATTGCGACGTGATAGCGGAGGCAGATACGTCCAACAGTCCCACAAACACACCCTCAAGATACGAGCGCTTGAACGCTTTACTCAAATGGCGATAGATAATGACATTCTAGATCATCTTGAATTCATCAACTCGACACCACCACCAGTCGTTGATACATATTTGGATGGCATACAATGTCTCAAAAACGAGATCCGAGGCAAGCCCAGCGAACTTGGGCGATTTCTATTGCATTTGCCGTTATACTCTGACCAGGACAACGCAGAGGTCAGTGATGCCGAAGAAGATCTTATCATTGATGGGATCCATCCAGACCCCGCTACCAATGGGGGTTATTCAACCCCAGAGGACAGAGACAATAGCGATGAGGATTTAGGAGATGGTGAAGAGGCAGATGAGGTTCAAGAAGACGAAGCACATGATTGCAATAGTCTTTCAGGAGGAGAAGGGGAAGAAATCTGAATTTCCATGTAACACAAATTATACATGATCATCGACCACGGTGAATACTCTCGATCCCTTTCCTCTCTGCATTCTCACCAGCGATCCTAACTAGAATGGCCAACTGGGCCCGATCCTCCTCCTTCTTTGCCAGTTCAATCCGTTTACGGGTGTCGGTCGCCTCACGCTCCAACCTCTTTGCTTCCTCCTTGGCCTCCTTGGCCTCACGATCGACCACAGCCTCGATGGCTGCTCGCTCCGCCCGCTCCTTGTCACGCAATCGCTTCTTCTCTTGTCTAGCCATCTTGGCTCTGACTGCGCCATCGGTTTTTTCTGCAGCTAGTGGACCGGAGATGAACTCTCGTATCACCCGGTCAAGAGCCTCCACCTGTCCTTCAATCATCTCACCCCCAATCACCTTCCTTAGGCCAGATACCCCGATGAATTTGCCAAACTTCTTGATTATCAATTCAATCTCGGGTTTTCCAAACAGGTCGGCCGCGCTCATTAGTGAGCCTTTGGGGTACTTGTGGTCATAGATCCGACTGAAGCATGTGTTGAGTTGTTCTGATAGGATCGATTGCATTGGCAAACTCAATTTGATCTTTCTAAGTCCAGTCGAGCTGTTTGCCCCCGCACGTTTTCGCTTGTTCATTGATAATGTAGTTATTGGTCGCAGAGGCCACTCTTGTTTGATCATATCATCTATATTGTCTTCTCGCATATTTTTAATATTATCAAGAAGACCCTCAGCCATCTGTGGCTTGCAATTGGAACACAAGCATGGTTGAAACCCCATCTTCATTTCGCGTTCTTTTTCGAGGATATACGATGGGTCGCTGAGCGTTAGTGGAATGTAACCTAGACTAACAACCCATGTCATATAATAAGAAGCCCGCCAGTCCAATGTTAGCTAAGCAGGCATGCATCTGAGTGATTATCACCGAAACAGTTCTACGCACGCATTATCAATAGCAAAAGCAATTCTTAAGCACACTGGTGTGATAGCCAAGGCGTCCATTCGGTCTTCATCGGTCTGCCGGTCACAGCCTTCAAAATCCTCCAAGCAATTTTTCCCATCTGTCCGTTTTGGTTCCACGTAGACTATAGCCAGGCCCGGTCGCCCATCCCTACCAGCACGGCCAATCATCTGACATATAGCCGAGGGATCCGATCGGCCCATCTGTATCACACACCTCACTCGGGACCAGTTTTGTCCCATCCCCAAAGCCATCGTGCAGGAAATCACCGGCAATTTCTTTGCAGCAAAGTCATCCACCAGTTTGATCTTGTCCTTCTCACCAGTACACGAGTGGAACCTTCTGACAAACTTTGAATTTGGACGAGATGAGTTACCTGGGGTCCCCCGAGCCAGGTCTAACGCTTTCATCACATGTTTGGTTCAATTACGAGTCCCACTGTATATTAATGTTGGAACCACCAACTCATCTGGAGTCTTGGACTTAGGAGCAAAAATATCCAACAAATCGGCACATGAGGTAATTGATGTCTTGATTTCCAATCGAATGATCCGTATCTCTGGACGAGTGAGTTCCCCGCTAACTATTTTCAGATTATGGTCTTCTAACTTCAGACTTTTCTTGATACCTTCAACAGCTTTAGGCCGACATGTTGCCGACATCAACAGAATCGGCTTCTTGTTTCGTGTGAGCAATCGACCACCTAGTTTACCATACGATGGACGAAATATGCCAAGATCCTCCAAGCGGCCAAGTAGAGTTCGTTTGTGCTTTCCACTCCCTGATTCAACAAGCCCCCATTGGTAGATTATGTGCGCCTCATCAACGACAACTAAGGCAAGCCGGTCCTGAAAATTAGCGCAGAAATACACCTGATCCCAAAGTGGACTGTTTAAGAATATCTCCGGGCTCAGGTAAACAAAATTGTAACACCCGTTAACAATCTTGTTAGCTTCTTCTTCATTCAATGTCAATTTCGTCAGGTTGATCGCTGTGAACCCCGCCGCAATCTTCTCGAGGACCTGGTTATCACCCAACGCGTCGAGTGGATTCAGAACGACAATTACAGCATTACTTGCTTTCGGGTGGAGCATATGATATATCTCAGGTATTCGAGATTTTCCAAAGCCAGTCCCAGCCAGTACGAAGGTGTTGGAACCGCTTGCTAAGTTATACACTGCTTCAATCTGTAGGTCCTTTGCCGGTTGCTCATAGCGAATCTGGGCCAGTCTGCCAATTGCTGCCTTCAGTGCTAGATTCTTCTTCTCTGAAATTTTAGCTAAAAGCCGAATGCGGCCATTCGTTCGGTAAGGTGCGCGTATAGCAGGAGTCGGAATGTGTCGAAGCATCTTGAATTACTGTTGTTCAAGCGGAAAAAGGAATAGGGCTTTCATCTACTTATCTATGCTGGGTGTACATATATGTACCTCGATCTAAATCCAATGTTATTCGGTTATTTGACCTCACAGCTGGGGAGTCATATTATTCAACAGACATTATACTGTACTGTTATTATGCTTTTGATACTCAGGCAGTATTCCAATACTGCTTGAGTATTTGGAAGACTAGTGATTGCATGCGTATGTAACACATACTATTCCGGCAATTTTATCAGCTGATGATCGACTTCCCCAGGACACATTGAGCTCATCTGTAGGCCGATGGCCATGATAAAGAGCTCGCTGAGTGCGCAAGAAGCACACGAATGTAGGCAGCTGGTCAAAATTTGTGGGTGCCTGTTTAGTTTTAATATAATCCAGGCTATTGTAAAAATATGGGTTTTTAGCGTCTCAAATCCCTCAGGAGCCACGCCAGATGTTGTACGTTAGGGGCAAGCCTCTCTGTGAGACAGAGACCCTGCGGGGCTGCCCTCCGGGCTCTCACCAGCAAGGCTTGTGTTAGGCTCGGCCCCAGGTGGGTTTCCCCCAGATCTTGCTTGTTGAGAGGATGCTTCCGAGGACAATTCATTTGGGGGGAAGATCTTGTGCTTGTTTTCATGAGGACATTTTTGATCCATAAAGCCATTGTTTTTCACAGTGATTCTCTGGCAATTCCTCCGGACACATTTGTAGTAGAGCTTTCCCCGCTCAACACTGCACGAGCCCCCTCCTTGTAGCAGCTGGCCACATCCTGTCAAAATTGGACATCCTGCTGGTGCAGCCACTTCCCCAGCATTTCTGGCTCCACAGTGCGCACAGTCAACAACATTTTGAGCAGCAAGGCCAGGTATGATGAGAGCCATGAATGCTCCATGGATGATCGCTTTGGGCTTCATGCTGATACTCTTCAGGCAACAAGGAGTCTATGCTGGGAATTGAACCAATGCTTCACTCGCAAAATTTGGCTTCAGGTTAAAAGAGGGTTGAGGGTTTCTATCTGACTGTTAGGATAATGATCAGCGGGTATCTGATATCCCTCATAGGCTGTATATATACCATCAATTTGTTTGTAATAGATATATGTATGAGGAAATATCCAAGAAACATTTTGAATTAATGATCACATAAACAAAAAAATCTCACCATCACCATGTACTATTTTTGGATATGCCTGGTTGGATGCTTGTTTTTATAAAACTTTTGTTCAAGAAACACAGTGGTTAAATATCATCCGGGTATTAGTTTAAAACTGGGTGACATGTGTTAGAACTTAGATTATATGGATAATTCATACAAATCTATGGTGAGTATGATTAGAAACAAAAAAATATCAGAGAATTTCAATCAAAATGTTTCAGATCTATTGGTTTGATTTGAATTCAGTTTCCCAAGTTCTGTTGAAATCAGAAGTGAGGATGCTAAAAAGAGAAGTTTGAACAGGCTCAGGTGATCACTTTTAGTGGGGGAAAAGGTGTTTGAACTCAAATGGTCAGGAGAGCCAATGATGATAATACCTTGTAGGTTGTAGCAGACTAACATAAATAGACTAACTACAAGATGTCAACATGTGGTTGCCAGAACATGAATAAAGAAAAAATAATAATAGGCAAGGAAAAACAAGAGGGTACAGAAACAGGCACCAGAAACAAAGTATCTAAAACTTAAAACCAAGAAGATAAGCATACAAACTTGAGATAAAACAAGCCCTCCTTGTCTAGGGCTCTGAGACTACAAGCTACAGGGTTTGATTTCATAAAAAATAGATAAGACAGAAGATAATGGAGGAGATTCCAATAATGATGAGAGAGTAGATCCTAGTGGTATTTCCAGAACAAGAGTTTGAGGCATAAGTAAGAAAAAGGAAAAGAGGCTGAAATTCAGAACCAAGTTGGGCCCAAATTCCAACAAGTTCTGTTCCCGCTACTTCCATCTTTGCAGTTTTTGTCAGTCATAAACAGTCTTTTTTTTAAAAAAAAGGCTTGTAGTTCAATTTTAAGTAGACCCTTGCTAGATGTAGCAATTGTAATTATTCATCCAAAGTCAAAAAAAAGCTATACAAATCTAAATTTATCCACAACACCACCAGTGCTCCACATCATATGCCCCATACACATAGTCCCACAGCCAACAAATTCCATACAAGTAAGGTTCAACCTGTATCCCACAGGAAGAAAAACAGCTTGCAAAAAGGAGGCTCAAGAAGGAGGCTCAAGACTTCTGTAGATATTTTCTATTCCACAGGCCAAGAAAAGGAAGATTTTGGAAAATGGTTGGATAAAACAATAATCAGTACACCACTAGTTTAATGTATTAACAACTTTGTGTTACCTTGTTTACCAGGAGTAATCTTCCCAGTTTATAAGGATGTAAAAACTTCATGGCTGAGAGTAATTATTCCCAATCAAAAAGGTTGTACAGTGGGTTGACAGAAAAACCCAAACCCCCAAACAACCTTTTTAGGGGTCAAAATCAATCTTTTTTTAGATTTGTTTTTGGGTGGATGGAACAATGGGAGATTGGGAAAGTGATTAAAACAGCCATTTTATTGCATTGCCAAAGAAAAAAAAAAGATATACAGTCAAACCTGTCTAAGGACATACCCCTTGGGAGAAGGATTTATGTATACCTTTAAACAGGTTATGCCCTTAGAGGGAGGGAATTTGCAGCAAAATCAAGTTTTGGGAGAAGCCTTACACCATGCCCTTATACAGATTATGTACACAGAAAGGTATGCCCTTAGCCAAGTTTGACTGTATCAAGAAGAAAAGCCACATTTTTTTAAATTGTTTTAATAAGCTTCAGAAAAATAAGAGAAAAATATAAGGGGATGGTTAAGGAGATAGGATTATAGATTGCCCCTCACACCTGCACACCTGCAACAAGTACCAGTAATTGCCTGAAAATCCTCAGATCTTGGACACCTGCACCCACACAGAAGGCCCAAGCAACCCCGCAAGGACTCCTGTTGTAGGCTGGAATTTTTCATGTTAGCAGTTAGCTTGAATAACCAAGGAAAATCAAATGAATCCAAACAGAACCTTACCTGGTCATGCCTAGGATTGGATGACTGGGATGAGGCTGGCGTAGGCAGAGGTTTTTAGTGAGATTACCACATCTCTCAGGTGAGTCTAATTGCCTTGTCAATCCACTCGGGATTCCACCTTTCAAGTTTAAAATACTCGCCCATCCTTGAAAGAAGGATGAAGAAATGCATCAAGAAGGGTTCAGTATGGTGGGTGGTTAGGCTGATCTGGATTTCTAGGTGGCAGGGATATTTGGATGTCCAACTTGGAGTATGGAGTATGGAATTTACATAGATAAGGATATGCATCTGCACATCTGAGAAGGGAGGGTGTATAGCAAGTACTTTGTACAAGTGCTTACCTGTTTTTCAACCCAAAATCATGGCACCCACACCTGGCACCTGTAGGCAAGTACTTTTTGGAAGCCAACAAGTAGCAAGTACTTTCAAACCAGTACTTGGTGCAATCTCTAGTCCTTGTTTGGGTGCATTGGCCCTGCATCTTTGAATCCTGATCTTTGTTAGAGATGTCGCTTGATACCCGGGTACCTGTAGCGGGTGCGGGTACCTGCCTCAAAAATCCAATATTTTTGACACCCGCACCTGCTAGGGCCGCCAGGCAGGTACCCGGGTACCTGCGGGTACCTGGCACATTTTTGCAGGCAAATATACCCAGAAATCTCACCCTTGAATTTCTGAATGACTTGGTAAATATAAGATTGATATTCACTAGATATATGAGTAAGAATAAAATAAAAATAAAGAAAAACAAATTATTCTATCACCAATTTGAATTTTATCTTCTCTCTGATCTATCTTTAGCTTTACCCTTTTGCTTGGCCTCATTTGCCTTATCCAATGTCCATTGATGAAGACTGTACATCGTCTTTATGACTTGAGAAATTCATCAAGACTGTACACCATCTCAAAGGCCGGAGGGAACCCTCTGGCCTCAACAAAGCAACCAGATTAGTTCAGCAACACATGTAAGACACCAGCTGGTTTCCTACATGGGTTGCTGACACCTTTGTGCAGCCCAACACACCCAAAAGAGGGAGTGTTGGACCACCAATGATAAATTAAATTCTTCAGGGGTGGCATTCCCAGGGCGGGTGTAAGGCAGGTACCCGGGTACCTGCCTTTTTTTACCGCAAATGTTGACACCCGCACCCGCACCCGCACCTGTTTTTACTGCAAATGTTGACACCCGCACCCGCACCCGGTACCTGTTTCAGGGTACCTGAGGCTGCTTTGGAAAACAGGTACCCGCAAACGGGTACCTGCTGACATCTCTAATCTTTGTGGGTCATTTATTTTGGAAGATGTGAAACCACATTGTGCCTGACCCTAACAGGTCTTCAAGGAGGCATTGTTGTGTATTACCAGTGTGGTTGCTCATGCCACACAGAGAGTTAGCTAGTTTAGCTTAGCCAAGACTGATGTTGTTGAAGCACTTTTTCCAAGTTAACTTGGCTTGATATGAATTTAAGCTGTAGGCCACATTAGCCAAACCTGCAATGGATGCTCTAAATAAGTAAAAATTACAAAAAGAAATTCCAACCACAAAATGAAAATCACCTTCTGAGAAAATTTGAAACTGTTTGCAAGATGTGAAGAATTTTCTCAGGAACAATCTTCCACAAAAGATATTTGAGTACATATCACTTGCCAATCACTCAAACAGAACCCCAGACATAAAAATATGATCTCTCTGATCCACAAGGATTTTATGCTGGCTTCAGTTAAGGTTAGGACGAGTACTTGAGTGTGCATGATATTGAAGAACGGTGTGAAGTATTTAATTTTTCTTCCTCTTCTTACCGTCCATCTTACGTGTAACCTGATGTTCCTGTCCAAACAGAGCCCATTTTCTGGAAAAAGAAACTTTTGCTAGTTCTGTTTATCTCCCCCCGCCCCTGTTTTCTTGAGGTGTGTTGCTCGCAAACAGTCTTGCCTGATCTGGTCGATCGATTTGAATGATCATAGCTCTTCTGTCCTCTCACTAAAAAAAGGGATCCCCTAAGTGAGATGAAATTTGAACTGTCATGTGATCTATACGGGCAATTTGAGCGACACCACGGCGACCGTTGAAGGCTATGATGAGCTGTCTACAAATCGTTTGATCGTTCGAAGTTGGGAAAATGTGAATTGAAGGTCGAAATAATGAGCCACGCAAGAAATCCCGTCTCGGCTGGATCCTTAGGGTAACTGCAGATTATTATGTACATCGATGCCAAGCGAGATCTGGATCTGGGCTTTGGAGCGTCCAAGGGCAAGAGTCGAGCGATGAAATGGTTTGTTTTTGTACTCTACTTCATCTCGGAGATTGGGGAAGTCTGATCGGCACGATTGAGGTCAAGCGATTCTTCATTCCCGTCGATCTGTGTATCCACATCCAGGGCGTGCGCTCTTGAGATTTGTATCATTGAGAGGTGATTGATGAAGGTTTTGTGTTGGTTGGTTGTCGATTGCCACAGCTGGATGGCTGGACATGAAGAATCGACAAAGTTCCGGGGGTTTTACCCACCTGTTACCGAGTTCGGTATGTATGTAAGCACCCCCTTCTTCAGCCATGACACCACCCCCCTTCCTTCTGCCTGTTGACCATCTACTTGACTTCTTCCATTTCTTTATCCTCAAGGCTCTCTCATCCATCCTGATCAATCACAGTAAGTCAATCTCCATTCTTATACTTCAACGAACAAGGAAACGATCTAATCGAACCTCTCTCAGACAGGCACCAACCAATGATACAAGACAAAAAGGCCACACTCGAACCGGCCTAAAAAGAAGTTAAGAACCCATTCCAATCGAACCGCCGGAAGGATCCTCCAGAGAGCGATCGATCGAGATAAAAAGATGCCATCGGCACCGTGGAAGGCATACTGTAATACCTTCCTCGGTGAAATTTCCTCGCTGAGTTTCGACCCATACACCGATTTACTATGGACAGCCAATCCCAGCGGAACCGTCGTCTCACACTTCTTACCTACAACCACCCTCCCACCATCCGATCAGGATCGAAGAATCACCCGCTACACCTCTTTCAAGTCTCACACCTACCGATCCCCTTCCACTGAACTCCTGCTCGCCGAACGTGGGGTCTTGAGCTTGGCCGACAAAAGCCTCAAGTTTACCAATCGCAGGGGTATCCCATATTGGTTCTTATCGTTAGTCTCTTTCCCTTTTTCTTTCCTTCATCTCTACCTTCCAACAATTTTTCTTGGGGAGTGTAAGTTGCTTTCTGTATTGACCTGAATCACTGTAGAACGGCCTTTCAAGATGCTTGCTCCATGGCATTCACCGCTCCCAAATCCGCCGAACTCATCATCGGGGGTGCCAAGCCGGAATTGGTACTACTCAATGCCAGCACCGGTGCACTGGTTCGCAGGATCGACATCAGTCAGTCGGGCAAATCCACCCTGAATTCGGCACAGCCATCCACCGGGTTCTCTCCAACGACTCACCTCAGAAGATCTCAATCCCTCATCTGCTGTGGTGCGCGTTCGGGTACGGTCACTCTACGCGATCCGGTCACCCTTAAGGAGGAACATTCGATGATGACTCATTATGCTGGATTGGAACAGATGGAAACTGAAGGTAACTATCTCGTTACATGCGGATATTCACTCAAGTTCGTCGTCCCCCTATGCCTCACAGTCTGAATAATTGATCGACCTCAGAGGTTTATTTTTCTGAATCCTACCTACTGCCCCCACCCAACCCTGCGTTGGTTTTCCACTGTTTAACTCCAACCATCTCTCTCACAGACAGGGACACCCCGTACGTGATCCGCTCGTCAAAGTCTTTGATGTTCGGGCCCTCAGACCTCTAGCACCGATCACTTTTTCCTCCAGTCCGGCCCACGTTCGATTCCATCCTCGCATGTCGTCCACCCTCTTTATCACTTCTTCCACCGGACAACTTCAAATCATCGACTTGGCTCATCCGATCCCAAACTCTTCCTTCTACCAACTGGATGTGGGCACTTTCATCACGGACATGTGTATATCGAGCTCTGGAGATGGACTAGCTTATGCCGAGGCAGATGGAGTTGTACACCTTTGGACCACTGCTGTGGGCGAAATGGATCTAGGAGACGAAAGCGTCCGAAGTAATACAAAACCCATCAAATGGAGTCGAGGTAATATGCCGATTGCGTTACCAGATTCAGTCGAGGAATCTGCTCCGGTCCAATGGACAGACGAAACTCCGCTTAGTTCGATCGGCATGCCATACTATTCAACCGAGCTGTTTTCAGTCTTGCCAAGTGAAAATTACATTACCCCATACTCCCCTCTTTACCAACGCAGAGCACTCCCAGATACCGATCTCTCCGTGCGTGCCTCTCATCATCAGTCCTCTAATACGACCCATGAAGTTTTTGACGGGGGCGGGCAGAAGTTCGAAGTTCAATACATCTCAAATCCTAAGAAGACAAAACGCTACCAAGCCAGTCTGCCCACCCAGCCGATCGTCTCCTCGTCTGGTCGTTCTGCAACTGCCAGAGTAGGTTCACCATCCCAGAATCTAGGCCAATTGATCCCCAACTCGAAACGGAAACTCAGCATCCCTCTCTTCAGAAGCGAGAAGGAAAAAGAAAAGGCCAAAACGCTAGGTCGGGGTAAGGCTCACATGGAAGCTAACCTTGTCGGAAACGAGTCCGAAAGAGATGATGAGATTTCCTTTGATATGAGTCTCGATGATTTTCATGAAATGCCCAAATGGTACCGTCAAGTCGAAATCAAGTACAGTAAATTCGGCATCGAGGACTTCGACTTTGGGTAGGTCGGTTCCAGGCTTTATTTGAAGGGAATATAAAAACAAAACTGATCAATCGCTCGATCACTAGCTTTTACAATAATACTCAATATAGCGGTCTTGAGACTCACATTGTGAATTCATACACCAACTCACTCTTGCAGGTCCTGTACCACACACTCCCCGTTCGAAAAGTAGCAGAATCACATATAGCTTTATCCTGTACAACGCAGAATTGCATGCTATGTGAATTAGGGTTCTTGTTCAAGATGCTTGATGATGCCCAGGGAGTCAATTGCCAAACCAGCAACTTTTCACGGGCCTTTTCGATCAATCAAAGAGCAATTGCCTTGGAGTTAATGGACCATCAACATCAAGAGTTCTGCTTACATCAAAGTCAAATCATGCCTCGACTCGGCGACCAATCGACGAATACCCAGAAGATCCCGATCTCAAGCAAATCCTACTCGAGTCTCATCCAGCTCTGTCATCACTTCTTACTCGACCAAATTGCCGAAGACGCTAGTAAGATCTCGACCGATTATCCCTTCGAGAGTTTGCGCTCCCATCCGATCAACACGCAAATCAGGACGACCAATAGCACGACCTCAGTTGCAACGATCTCCAACCATCTTCTGCCGTCCCCGATCGGAGACATCTACACGACCCGATGGCAGACCACCCAAAGCTGTCCTTCGTGCCACCACCAGATCTCGCGCACCTCGTTCACGAAAGTGATCGAGATGACCTACCCGCGCAAGGCGCTCTCGAATGAGCCCAAGCCAAGCACCGATTTCTGTTCAATCCTAAAGAACTCGATGATCCGCGAGACAACGGCTAAGTCGCTGTGTTCAAACTGTAACCAGTATACCCACCAACGCTGGCGCAGACAGCCCGATGATCTGGGCGCTGGTAACAAAGCTCTTCCCACCGTCCTGGCACTCAATACCGGCGTGACCAACTCGGAACAATTCGAGATCTGGCTCGACCGGCGCGCTAAATCGGCCTTTGTATCATCATCATCAACCAAACCCGCAAATCTTGAAGACGACAGCTCGAGTGTTAACGAGCATTTCTTGCAGCCCGAAATTGGCATCTCCATCGAGCCCCTTCCGGATCTTCCTCAGGAGACCAACACCAGTTCTTCTTGCCGTATTTCTATCGGCGACAACCATCCCATCAAAATCCCCCAGAACGCAGTGATCTATGAACTCAGAGGGTTGATCGTACAAATTCAGTCCGACGATGAAACCCCCCATCTTGTCTCCTTGATCAAAGTTAATAATCATCACAAAATCACGAGTCCAAGTACTACTAGTACTACTCTTAACTTGGACGATAAACCTCAATCTGAAAATGGTGCAGGTGCTGGAGCTTGGTATCTGTTTAACGATTTCTTGGTAAAGAAAGTCTCACAGGAGGAGGCCCTAAGTTTTCCTGCTTGCTGGAAGGTTTGTTCCTCCCTCCCTCTCTTTCTTTCTTTGGGGCTCACATCATCTGACCTCATATGTTTTTTACTAGGTCCCTTGTGTACTCTATTACGTCCGAAAAGATTTTGATGAGGTCTTGGATTTCACTAAGTTACCTGCGAATACCGTCGATAAATCGATCCTTCTAAAAGAAATCAATTTATCAAAGTTGGTCTTTCCTTACTCACTTATCTTCTTGAGATCAATCGATCATGAATTGTTTTATTTTTGTTTGTTTGGTTAATTTCTATATAGATGTAGGGATGTTAATAAAATTCGACATGAGGTGTTGAAGGAGGATGAGTTGCCGAAAAAAGGTGATCTGGTAGCGATCGATGCCGAATTTGTTTCTCTACAACAGGTCAGTTTCCAATTACAAATAGTAGTGGGGCCCTTTTTCATTTTTCACCGCAATCAATGAGGTAGTATCTCAATGGGAAGATGTGGTTTGGTCTATTTTGTAGGAGGAAGTAGATTATAAATCTGATGGGACTAGGTTGGTCAGGAGGCCCAGTCAGATGACACTTGCAAGGGTCTCCGTCCTCCGGGGCGAAGGAAGTAAAACTGGGGTGCCTTTTATCGACGATCATATCCAAACCTTCGAACCCATTGCTGATTATCTGACCGAATTTTCCGGGATTCGTCGTATGTTCAACTTTTTTTTTGCCTGTTTTTGCCGAGAAGGTTCATTCAAAAATTAAGAATGTTTCTTTCGTGCCAATGATTATCTTAGCTGGCGATTTGGATCTTAATGCTTCCCCTCATACCCTCGTCCCCTTGAAAGTCGCTTATAAAAAGTTGAGACTGCTCGTTGATTTGGGTTGTATTTTTATTGGTCATGGACTCTCCAAAGATTTCCGAATCATCAGTTAGTTGATCCGAGAATCCGTAGATTTTTTTTTTTTACATCTGTTGCTTACCATCCCTACTATTTGTTTTATTTCATCAGACATTCATGTCCCGCCCTCTCAGATCATCGATACAGTCGACCTGTATTATATCGCATCTCGACAGAGAAAGTTGTCATTAAGACTCCTCTCCTATCTGATTTTGAGGCACGATATTCAAAACGCTGGAACTCATGATTCGATCGAAGACGCACGGACAGCATTACAGTTATATGATATTTACCGTCAATTGAACAATGAAGGCGTTTGGAAAGATGAACTGGAGAGTGTTTATAGAAAAGGAAAAGAAATGGTTTGTGTTCTCTTTAACCGTCACTCTCTGACTGCATCTTGTAGAGAGAAATGTCTCATGATAAGTTTTTCTCTCAAAGGGGTGGAAAGTGCCTGCCGACAAACTCCGATCGCCTCTTCCAGCTCCAGCTATTCCACCAGCGCCTTCTCCATGTACTTCGGCAACTCCCAAACCCCCATCATCAACAACCTCATCTACAGTGAGTGGGCGTAATACGGCAGTGCAGGCCCCGCGATTTACTCCGTCGACACTATCCGCCGCATCGGCCACTTATTTCCCACCCGCTGGTATCGCTGCCTCTAAACCTCCCAACTCGCGCTCATTACAGCCTGTCGTGCGACAGACCCTGTCCTCGACTTCCACCCCAGCAGCTGATCAAGGCCATGCTGAGCCGGCAGCCTCCTTTTATCGGTCTATTCCTCAAAACTCGCAGACAAAAGCTTCGCCTCCAGCACCCAATTTCGGCCATAGCATCCTAGGCACGCTCAACCAGACCGGACCTTCAGCTTACAATAACAATAATAGCAACAACTCACGGACCGTGACAACAACGACGGTCTTTCAAAGATACACAACTGCACCCCCGCCAGTCTTTGAACCAAAGAAAAAGCCACCCGCGTTCAACCCAATGGCTCCCAGTTTTGTCCACTCTTCTTCTTCCTCTTCTTCCTCTTCGGCTACATCTACCAACCGACCTCTGATGAGTACCACCAGTTCCGGACCGAGCTCCTCAACGTACACCCATAACGGGGCTCAACATGAGAAGAAGAGCCATACTGGGCTTCCCTATCATCACCATCACACCAGTCTCAGTCATTCCAGCCTCGGCTCGGCTAGTCTGCCCGGCTCATCCATCGACACTCACTCGTCCGGCTCCTCGCTCGAATTCTTCCCCTCTAATAATAACACCCTCATCGGACATCCTCCTCGGCCCAATAACAACAACAACAGCAACAACAGCAACGAGCTCTACTCCTTCCATCCTCTCCCCCATCATCATCCTCATCAACAACCACAACTTCCCCATCAGCCACTTCCTCTGCCCGCGTCTCATGTCTACTCTAACCCTAATCCGCTCCCTCCTCATTCTCCACACAATGCTCTTCATCACCACCAACACCACCAGCAGCATCATCATCAAGTCTCCAACGAGTTCGTCTACCATCATCCTCATCACCATCACCCCCACCCTCACCATCCTCATCTCTTCCATCAGGAACAACACTTCCCTATCCACTCTTCTTCTTCTTCTTCCTCTACTTCTACTCCTTCTAATCCAACTACTTCTTCTAACACTACAGCAGCTCTCTCTAATCATCATCAGCTTCATTCTCCAATTACTTCCTCTACTCACTCGCCTTCTTCTAATCCTAATCTCTCGTCTCTCTTGTCTGGCTCTCATAATGAGTTCAACTTTATTGGTTAAATCACAGATTCTTTGCTCTTCTCTCTCTCTCTTCACCCTGTTTTCACCATTCTTCTCATGATCTCATTTTTTTCAATCTTGATCTTTTTTTTATATTTGTTTGGCTATAGGTTGTCTCTTTTTTTTGGTCTTATTATTTTCTTCAAAAACATTTTGGCTTGTTGTTTGTACATAGGTGATGATTTACATAGAGGGAGAGGAACAGAGAGAGAGAGAGAGAAATACAGATGAAAGGATTGATACTGATTGATTGGTTGTGTAGTTTTTTACAAGTCTTTCTTCTTTTAATGTTTATAAAAAAAAACTTCATCAATAAAAAAGAACAAATACATGGATCATTATGATGTAAAAATTGAAATTGAAATCAGACTTTATACAATCTTCATCAAGTTTTCTTTAGTGGCAGAAAAAGTAAAAAAAAGTGAAAGTGAAGGACAATCATGAACCAAACTAACCCCACTTCAATCTGTTCAAGAGGAGATTGTGAATGGTATTGAAGTGTTGTAGAGTGTTGAAATGATTGTAACCTTTTGGTATGTAAAGCCTCAGATCTGTCAGCTTTGGATGTTGGGAAGGCAAAACCCTAACTTGGAGGTCCTGTATTTTGTATTGCCTTGATTACTGTAGGCATACAGGGCCACATACAAGACAAAGCGGTGCAAAAAAAAAATCTTCTGAAACACAGCTGATCCCAAAACCACAAGCTTGTTGGGATCAGCCGTATTTGCAGGATGTTTGTTTTGGCTGTGGTGTACAGCCCCTTGACAGAAAAAATGGAACCCTTTAATTGGAGTCTAGAGGGCAAACCAATGGACTTCAAATACTTATGCTTCGTGGTCAAACTGTCAAAAATGAGTTTCAAAGAATGATTTTGACAAATTCAATAGGAAAATGTTTTGTAAAAATTTTGTATATTTTTCCTCATTGTCTTATTTTTTTTGATATTTTTCAATCATTTTTCAAAGTGGCTCAAAAAACCAGGACCAACACAATTGCATGTGAAAAGAGTGATTATAAGTGAAAAAAAAAGTGATCAACTGCTTCTTTAAGCATGCTTGGATTGTGTCATCCACCAGACCAACCCTGCAATCAGGCACTGAAATCCAATTCAATTCCAATCTCAATCCAACTTCTTCTGCTCTCTAAACTTTCGATCATTGTTTTTTTTCACAATTTTTCATTTATAATCATTCTTTTCACATGCAATTGTGTCAATCCTGATTTTTTGAGCAACTTCAAAAAATGATTGAAAGATATCAAAAAAATCAGAGAATGGGGAAAAATATACAAACTTTTCACAAACCATTTTCTTGTCCAATTTGTCAGGATCATTCTTGAGAACTCATTTTTCACAGTTTCACCAGGAAGCATAAAATCAAGTCTATTGGTTTTTCCCTCTAGACCCCAAATAAAGGGTTCCATTTTTTTCTGTCACTATTGTAGGGTGATATGTGTTAGAGAAGAAGAATCTCAAAGTTGAAATTTTATTTTCCAAGTGCCAGGTAGTTGAGAAGTCATGCAGGGCACTGATCTCAAGTTTTGCAGAGGCTTGCAAGATACATTATAGATACTGGTCACAGGCTAAGCTGCCCCTAAGATGTTGTGAAGTAATTATGACTTGCTGTGAAATGTTTGTAGCATCCTGTGACAAATCTGTAAGGTGTTGTATTGTACTGTGAAATGTTGGTCAATGTGGGAAAATGGGTAGTCAAAAGCTGTGACAGGTCTGTGGCATGTTGCAACAGGTTTGTGACAGATCTATGACATGCTGTGATAGCATGATGACAGCTCTGTGAAATGTGATGTACATTTCACAACATCTCACAACCTATCAAAGACATTTCACAAGATTTTTCCAACAATCATCAACCTGTCACAAACATTTTACAGACCTGCCACCAACCTGTCCCACTTTTTCACTGTCAGCTACAGTCTCTTAGGTGAACAGGAGTTGATAGGATTTTTGGGTCACTCTATAGCCATATAGGTGTTCAATGGAAATAAGACTCTCCTCAACACTTAAAAAGTGGAGGGGCTACCTCCTTATAATTTTAAGGGACAATAGTGGGATAATTCTCACTGTGCCTGAGAAGTGAGAACATAATAGAAATATAGTAGTAACTGCTCTATACAGTTAAATGCTCAACTTTTATATACTAGTGATAATAATCAAGAGATGTACACTAGTAAATTAATAATAAGTTGCTCAAAAACCCCACTCACTATTTAGTATATTGGTAAGGTAGGGGAGTCTGCGTGGTAATAATTGTGTGGGGGATGACTCTGAGGAAAAGAGTCATCCCCTTAAATATTAAAGAACAGTGGTCAAACTGATAAACATTACAGAACAGTGGTCAAACTGATAAACATTACAGAACAGTGGTCAAACTGATAAAAAATATAAAGACAGTGGTCAAACTGCTAAATATTACAGAACAGTGGTCAAACTGCTAGTGGTATTGGTGCAGTCCTCATATTTTTACACTATTTCTTTGGGGAAAAGTTTCAGGATATTCAAAACATGGTGAAAGTACATGTGTTGAATATCTCTCTTATTTCAGAAGATACAAATACATATATATAATATCTGAATAAATGATGATAATATTTCTAAGAACCAAAAACCAGACTGAAAAATAATTAAAAACATAAGTCAGAAGACAATACAGAAGAAATTGAGAAGAGAATCAAAACAGGGCATACCACTATTGTAGATGGAAAGAGTGAATGAATATTGAGGACTTTAATGACAAGTGTGCTAGCAGGAGCAGATCATCTAAGAAAGAAATGAAAGCACAGCTTAGTGATTTGATCATCAAACAGAGAAAACAAGGAGAAACAATGACAATGAAACAAGAGAGAAGAAAACAAACAGTATAAGAAGAGCGGAGATTCTTTATGAGCAAGGGAATTTTTGATTGAGCAATATTGAGGACTGATGAAGACTTAGTGAGCAAAGAGAAGAGAAAAGAAGAAAAGGTGAGCAGAGCTGTGAGCCTGGGTCTCAATAGTGACTGCAGGACACAAGGTTTGGGGGGCACTTTTAGATGTATTTCTTAAAAGAAAAGAGATACAAATAAAAGTAGAGGAAAAGAAGAGAAGAAGGGAAAGAAAATAGATAATATTTTGGTTCTTTATTTATTTTATGAGGATGATTAAAGTTCTTGCAGTCTTACTTTCCTTTTAAGGATAGCTGTTATAAGCGGAGCTAACTCTATGCCTCCAAATCAACACGCAACATGAGAATTAGAGATTGTTTGTCTGCGACCTAGGTACCTGTTTACACCTAGGAACCTGTTCATTTTTTCAAGAAAATAGCTACCATGTTCCACACCAGACACCTCCTGGGGGGTACCCAAGGTACCTGTTGCAGGTACCTCAGGTACCCCCCCTCTCTTTTTCACATAGTTTCACTCCCAGAGTCCCAAGTCACTTTATTATTATTATTTTTTTTTCATATTTATTGTAAAATATCACTCACAAGTCACTTTTTTGGCATTTTTTAATATCTGTTGTAATATATCTACATCTAATTGGAAGAATCTTACTTTTCTATTTTTTTCATATTTATTGTAAAACATCAGTCCCAAGTCACTTTTTTCATTTGTTCATCTACATATAACTAAAAAAATGGCCTCAGAGGGCCAAACAAACCCAGTTCATTTCTAACGCCGGTGTCGACCTCCAATTCACATTTGTTGGATTTGTTGACGCCGGCGTTAGATCGAGGCAGACAGGTGTCCAACTCAAAAAAAACCCAAAGGTCATTGAGTAAAACCCCCAACATCCGGGGCAAACACAATATTTAATAATTTATTGCAAAGTTTAAACTCTCTAAAACTTGAAACTAATTGGAAGAATCTTCATTGTCATCCAAAACCATCACCTTCCTTTTTGATTTTTTGTTAGACTTCTTGTTATCCTTGAGTCCCTGTTTCCATGCAGCCAAGGTACCTTCTTGGATCTTGGAGTTCTTGGAGTAGAAGGCCACCATCATTTTGATTTTTGGTAGGGAAGTGAGGGGGTACCTGTAGAGGTACCTAGGTACCTGTTCAATTTTTCACAAAAATAGGTACCAAGTACCGCACCTGGCACCTCCTGGCGGGTGTGGGGCGGGTGCAAGGGGTACCCCCCAGGAGGTACCAGGTACCTGCAAAAAGTACGGAAAAACAATCTCTAACTGAAATGGGATATTGATGCTGATAAATCAGATCAACCACAATTTTTTAGATAAAGGATCAAGGTTCTTTAAAGGGAAACCTATGTAGTTTTCAGTTGTAATACCAAAACAAGAAGAGTTGTGACAATAGAAGCTGGGGCTTGCTTTCTTGGATCAGGGCTTTGGTTTAGAGAAGAATGAAGAGAGGTTGAGAGAGACAGAGAAGAGAAATAAGCATAAAGATTCTATCTTAACTTAACAGAAGTGAATTACTAATGATACCAATGACACTGTGTAGTGGGAAAGGTAGGAAAAGTGGAGTACTTCTGGTGGATAAGTTGTAGCTTGATCTGGGTCTGGTTGTTGGTGTTCTGTGTTGGTCTGGAGTCTGAAAATCCTCTGGAAGCGGAATCAACAAGCTCAGAGAGTATTTTAAAATTTGGATTACATAATACTAGCATGTACATGTGGTAGAGGGAGCTGAAACCTAAGGCTTGTGTAATCCTTAAAGTACTGTGAATTATTACAAAGTCAATGCAGGAATGGAGTTGAGTAAAAGTGATCAGTGGTGACTAGGGTTAATTTTACTCCAGGAATCTGTTCCTGAATTCAAAAATGTTAAAGGTCTTAATATAAAAAAGATATGATAATATTTGGAATAGAAATGGGCAATTTTGGCAGTCTTTTGGCCAGCTTGGCTGGCTCTAAGGTTGACAAGAGCAATCTTGAAGGAGATTCTTATAGGTTGGGGGAAAAATTTACACTGGATGTTTTTCAGTATTGGAGAGTTGTTTGGAAGTGGGATTTTGAATCAGTGAAGAGTGTCGAATCTTGACAAGTATTGACAAGATTGAGGATCAGGAAGGAGTGCTAGGCCTAGCATAAATTTATGCCCAATTGGTCTCAACCCTAACCGGTTGATTCTTAAGGTTTTTTTTTCTCATCATTTAATTGGGTTACCGCAGTGATCTTGTCTGATGAGCAAAGAAGAGAGAAGCACTTTTCTTGAAGTTTCTTGATTGATGAGTATGGAGCGGCTTTCTTCAAAGTGTCCGCCATCATGTCGCTGGATGGAATGAGTTGCATGTCAATTTCTTTCTTCTTGAATTTCTCCCGTAAGCTTTTTATCTTGATATCCAGGTGCTTAGTCTTGGAGTTAGACCCAAAGTGTTTCAATTTTTCCAGCAACCCTTTGTTGTTGATGTGAAACAGGGTTGGTGCAAGCTTCTTTGCCCACAATTCTTCAATCAGAAAATTTAACCACTGACTCTCTTGTTCTCCATTGGACAAAGCATTCATCTCCAACTTGGTCGAGGAAAGAGTGATGTTCTTTTGTTTTTTGCTGTTTCAGAGTATGGGGCATTCCTTCCAGAAAGCAAGAGAACCACTTTGGGACAGTCAAATTTCTTGATCTTCTGCCCATGTGGAATTGGTGTGTTGAGGGGCACAGGGACCATAAAACTTCGAGGAATTCAGAACTCATGGAGTGATCTTGACAGTGAGAATAAATGTTATTGATTTGGTGAGGAGAGATACTAGGTGAGACAGGTGAAAAAGCAGTAGTGGAATACTAGTTAGAAGCGTACTCTAGATACAAGCAAACAAATACTTCACAACGGGATTCTTCATCTTAACACGGTGAAGAAGTTCAAGCGATCTATCAACGCCTCCGGATTGGGTTTTAGTCAAAGGCCAAGATTTTGAGTTCCCTTTAGGTACTTCCAGCAGTGCAGTACTTCCTTCCAGTGACTGAGGCCTGGTTGTTGATTGAATTGGGATAGGATGGACACAGCAGAGGCTAGATTGGGTCAAGTTCTGCAAAATAAGTAGTTCAGCATTCCAGTAAACAAACAATAGTTGATATTCAGTTTCAGAAACTCCTCGTGATCTAGGTTGGTTGCAGACTTCAGTTTCACAGCTGGAGTCAACGAGGTTTTCACTGGTCAACATTCTGTCAAAACAGGCAGCTCCAGACCTTTACTGATTAGCACTGGTTGTGACAACTCAATCAAAGAGTATGATATTTGAAGGTTCATTCCCAATAGAGTGTCTGGTTTGTGAGCAGAAGAGTTAGGGAAGTGAGTTAGGAATAAGTCTTCAAATTCCTCCGTTCGTCCCACAACAATAATGTCATCAATATGAAAGGCCCAAACGAGCTCCGATCCTTGTGTACAAAAAGACAGGCATCCAAGACAGATGGCCAGTAATTAATTTCTTCAAACCACGTTGTAAGAGTTTCATACCAATTCTTTGGGTCCTGCTTGAGTCTGTACAAGGATTTAACAAGCTTTAAATACGGTGCCTTTCTCTTTGATCCCTCCGGAGTCTTGATGAAAATTTAATCCTCAAGGGGAGCAAATAAGAAGGCACTCTTCACATTGAATTGGTGAATAGGCAACTTAAGATCAATGGCAAGTATAAGAAGGGCCAGTAGCAAAGGAAATTTCCCTGTGAGCACAAAGGTTTCAAATAAGTCCTCCCCAAAGGTTTGAAGGAAACCTTGAATGCAGAGTCAAGCCTTCTGCTTTTTGGGAGACGAGTTAGTTGCGGGTTTAGTCTTGAAGACTCAGGTGTGTTTCAGGGATTTTGGGGGAGTAGACATTTGGTCTAGCTAAACTTCATGACACTTGATGTTTTTGAGCTCTTCATCAACTGCTTGTATCCATCCTTCAGAATTAGGACCGTTAACAGGACATTTATGCCCAATTGGTCTCAACTGTTACCGGTTGATTCTTAAGGTTTGGGTTTCTCATCACGTAACTGGGTTACTGCAGTGATTTCTGGTTTCACCAAGATTTCAAAAATATCTCTCTTACTTCAGAAGATACACATGATGATAATGATACACAAGAGAGATACACAGGATGATAATCACTTGGATAAACAAAAGATGTAATTGTCCTTTTCAACTTGATTACAATTTTCATGAGAGAGGTACAGCTATTCCAAAAATGCTTGTCAAGCTTGCCTTGGATTTTTATTTTTTTTACTGAAGTGGGCCTGTCACAACTGAACTACTGGCCAAGGATGTACAGCTGTCTTCAGTAGTTCAGTTTAAACAGGCCCAGTTCAGTAAAAAAAAATCCAAGGCAAGTTGGACAAGCATTTTTGGAATAGCTGTATAGAAAGAGGTAAATCATTATCAACTTAAAGAATAAATAGAAAAATATTTATTATTATGTAACCCAGAGGGGTTGCATTCACTTGCAGACACCAGGACTAGTGTTTCAGTGTCTGAAAGTCACAGACCTGTTGCAACATGCCACAGACCTGTGACAGATGTTGACTACATGTTTTCCCACATTTAATTGGGATGCTCAGATTTCTTTTGGGCCCAAGAATGTCATCTTTTCTTCTTTGGTTTTCCACATTCAGCAGCTTGGTATTGTCTCCATCATCATTCTTGTTGAGGCTGGTGGAAATAAAATCTACTATCATAGAACAGAAAGTTTAGAAACCAAGATACAATAGAAGAAGAAGAGAAATGGAGGGCTTCACGTGGGTTTTACAGGCCTTGTAGAGCTAGATTTACAGGCTGTAGAGCTAATCTTTCGATGGAAACCAGTTTTACAGCCGAATATGTGCTTAACTTGAGACATGATCTGTTGAGGACTACAAACTGAAGATATATCCTTGAAGTGGCAATTTCCAGCAGAGGTATGAGGAGCATCCCTAAGACATATAATGGGATAGGCCGGATGAGAGGAGCTTTGATACAAAAGCATTGTATGTAGATACAGATTGCCAGTGTTGATCTGAAGTGTGGCCAAAGGCACCGGATGAGGTGCAGAACGGGTCAAGGGAAGTGGGCCCGAAGGCCTATCGGATGGGTCCGACTGCTCACTGATGGCAGTGAGGCCAAAAGCTGATCCAACATCCCTGTTTCCATACCGGTCCATACCACGCTCCTTAGAGGCGCTAGCTAGCTGCAAATAATTTCAAGTACGCGTTTTTTTGCTTCAGTTTGTGGTTCATCTTGCTCCACCAGTCTTTCTGCAGACTCTTGCAAGCGAAAGATCGATGCATATGTAGACAAAGGGAAAACGAAAGTCTTCCAAATGCAACTCCCTCAGGATCTCAGGATGGTGAAGATGAGACGGTCTATCGCCCAACAAGGCAGCAAGATGGAACGTTCAGGAGGTGAAACCCAGAAACAAGACCAATCCACCCAAGAATATGCTGGTAGTGGTGGGTGACGATCCATGAACTTCCATTTCCAAGTTCTTGAACAGCTTCCAACCGCGGCGGGTGTGTCTAGTCACTAGTGCCCGCAAAGTCCAAACAATGGGACATATTATGTAGCAGGGACATACACAGCCATACGCGGCCTCGGGTGCCCGACCGACCCCGAGACTGCTCGGGGCCATTTATAATCCCCTCCTCCGTCTGCCCCCAGGGCTGAGTCACCCCACGCCAGCACATCTCCTCATCCATCCTTATCCACCCCAACTCACAAACTGATCCACCCAGTCTCATATATTTGACGCGACTAGCTCAACATGGTCCTTATGGTAACGTGAGCCCTACCAACATCACATCCTGATCGCTTAGATATCAAATGATCGAGGACTTCTTCGCTTTCCTTTCCAACGATCTGACCCTTTCTTTTCTCTCCTGCATGCTTGCCGATTTGTCTCAAATCGATCTCTCTTCTATCACAGATCTGATGGCGAGGAGTTCATTGTTGAAAAGGAAGTTGCGACCCGCAGTGCCCTGATTAAGAACATGATCGAAGGTCAATTCTTCATTCATTCATCGTGCCTTTTCTTTCTTTCGTCCTACTCGAGATGGTTCTCCTCAACTTACTGGGCTTTTTTTTCTTTCTTTTTTCTTTTTTTTTTTTTAAAAAAAAACTATAGATCTTGGTGAATCGGACAACCCGATCCCCTTGCCCAATGTTTCAGCCAGCGTTCTGAAAAAAGTCCTTGAATGGTGCGAGCATCACAAGAAGGATCCCGAGCCCTCCGCCGAGGATCCTGATGACGCTCGGAAACGAGCCACCGAGATAAGCGACTGGGATACCAAGTGTGAGACTTGCTCTCCATCTCTCATGAATTCTAATGAGTGCTGACTTCCCTTTCCTTGGATCCTTAAAAGTCATCAATGTTGACCAGGAGATGCTATTCGAGATCATATTGGCTGCCAACTACTTGGACATCAAGCCTTTACTGTGGGTCTGCTCTCCTCATACTCTTAATGCTCAAGGTCAGAGGGTAACCCTGTCTCCATTTCTGCTTGTAGGGACGTCGGATGCAAATCGGTTGCCAATATGATTAAGGGCAAGCAACCCGAAGAGATTCGGAAGCTCTTCAACATTGTCAGTCCCGAGTCTCTTTTCTCTCAGTTCCTATAAGGACGAAGTATTTACGCTTTTCTTAACACTGTGATCTTCCCCAGGCAAACGACTTCACCCCAGAGGAGGAAGCCCAGATCAAGAAGGAGAACGAATGGGCAGAGGTAGGAATTTTGTTTTTGCCTTTTCTCATTTGAAGTCTTCGTTTCTTCGATGGTTACTGATTGTTTATCATTCATTTAATCCCAATTACTATAGGACCGATAAACGCTTTATCCCTCGAATGTTTTTATTCGTTTCTCTCTTTCCATGATTGTGACTCTTTTCAAATGTGCAAAAAAAGAATTATCCCCTCCCCCCCCCAGAAAAAAAAAATGAAAAGAACCTGTTCAGGATGTACTTTTGCTCGACATACCTTTCTCGCTCTATTTGATGAGAAATAAGCTGTGGATTCATACCGGCTTACTATGATCAGTGATATCGATGAATTCAGAGTGTGCAGAGAACAGATGACTTGTCCCCTTTCCATGGCCAATACGAAGGATAAACATTGTCGTGCTTATCGCCATCTATTAAGGTTTTTGTTGCATGTCCATTGCATATGGGTCTATGTAATCCGTCTTGTGTGCCAATTTCCGTCCCAGGACCTGATGGAGCCTAGAGTTCTGTCTGGTGCCAACTTGTAGTAGTCTTATGAAGTTGCTTGACCAGCTGTTACACTTTCTGGGTGAACTTTCACGATACAACGACCATATCGAATGGTTAAGTAGCAGTAATATGCATCCACGGGCCCTGCAGCCCAGTGAGTTCGAATGTTTGGTTAATTTAGCCCTGTGAGAATCCACATGTGCTTGGAAGGAAAGGACTGGTAAAATCCATTGCATTTTCCCTTTGAGATGTAGATGGATCTGATGTATCAATTCAATACTTCTTCTTGGAGCACAATTAGTTCATAATGACGATAACAAAAACTTGGCATATGAGTCTGAGATATGTAGATCTATAGTGGGAGACTTTCAAAGCTTTTGTGATTGCTTGAGTCTAAGTCTGTGTCTCAAGTACAAGCATGGGCAGAAAGTGTTTGAGGGAAATTGGACAAGTGAGGTTGACAATGAACATAAATAAGTGAGAGCAATCAAGCTGGAAAAGAATGGAGAAAGGAAGGACTTTGGTGGTGTGCTAACAAAAACAGGCTTCTTATCTGACACAAACCAGTCTAATCAATCTTGCTCTGATATGGATTCTATGTATATTTAGAACTCAAACATAAATCAGCAAGAAATGAGAGGGAATGCTGGGATGGGCACATAGAGAAGAACTGAATTCCAACCAATTCAACCAAGGACAATTTTGTTTATATGGAAATTGAGTATATAAAAAAAAGTCAAACCTATGCTCTCTCATTCATGGATTTTTGATTGGTAGAAGAACCAAGAAAATTTCCAAGAGGATCTGTGTTTTATCTCCGCTTGTCTTGTTTTGATTTTTCTGGTTCTAAAATTGAGACCTTCCTGCCAATATCTGTGGACCCTACAGAATCAGCCTTGGCCCCACTCCAGTCAGACTTTGCAAGGAAATCTGATTCATTAAGGGGCTACATACAAATCTGGTTTTGCAGGGGCTACCGAACCAACTGGAACTTGAGAAGTCATCCTCTATCTTTAAATAATCTAGAATGAATTGGTATGACTTCTAGAATGTATTATGCTTCGACTTATTTACGTGCAATTATAGATTAAGTCATGTCACAACAAGTTGTGCCTTCCTAGAATACTTCATATCTTGAGGAAACGTGGGTTGCTAGAGCTCACCAAGGCCTCTGTGGAGGGGGTCTTGCAAGATCGCCAAGCGTGAGCCAGGGAGCCTCCTCCCGCCTCGTGCATGCAATTGCAAAGGTTGGGCTATAAACGGCCTCTCCCAATTCAGGTCAATTCCATTCCTCTGGGAAGACCCAACCCTCGGCAATGGAGAGTCTGGCTACAATTACTTGGTTGATGCTGTTGCCGAGTGAACGGGCCGAAGGAGGCGGGCCTGTTCGGACATGGTAGTCTAGGCAGTTGGCCGATCGGTCCCCACCCGGGATGCAGCATTGCAGATAAGGACAGGCATAAAGCGGCCTAGCAACCATCGGTCGGAGCATCTAGCTCACCGATTATCTCCAGGATGATCCGTCAGGATCCTTCGTCCCTTGAGTCTTGATGCGCCTCGAATGCAACCATGAGCCCGTCCCATAATTATCGGGAAACGGTGTAATCGAAAACTATCCCCAAGTGTCTTCTGGAATTCAAAGACTTCTCTTGGCTGAAGCCTCCTCGGGATTTGGTAAATTACTTCGGCAGTAATGAGAAAAACGTTGAGATCCGTCATGGGAAATCTGTGAAGCAGAAGCGACCTGATCCACAAGATAAAATCCCCAAGGTGGGTATCAGGCGCAATGAAGCCGTTTCTTTTTCCAACATTCCTCACACATCTTAGCTTTTAGAAAGCTTGACTGGTAGCAACTTCCTCTGAGAACCGTTCTGATCTTACACCCATACATCAGTCTATAACCCCATCAAACACCACCCTACAGGATATATTGTCAGATCGCCATTAGTATCCTTCCGCATTGAAAAAATTCAAAAATTCATAGCTTCTTCACTTGAGATTCATTATCTCTTCAACCAGAGCTTGCGGATATGACAAGCTTCCGAATGTATTCGGTAGTTACCCTACTGCTACTTCTTATTGTCCAAATCCAGGCCTCTACTTTCAGGCTTAGCGATGAGCACCTTACAAATGAATTCGCAAGCCTGAGATCGGATTTCTTACTAAAGAGGCGGCAAGTTACACCTCTAGCACCCGGAGCAACCCCGCAAAACCCAGTACCTCTGCAACTGATAGCACCCCCCGACGACAGGAAACCTCCGAATGCACTGGATCAGGAAGAGCTTGATAACAGTTTGATCGAAATAATGACTAAACTGGATGCAAACTTGGAGGGAATCACCAATTTTGGAAGCGATATATCTGACATTCAAGACGGGGCTGCTAGAGTGATTCGCTTGATTCCACAAGTCAACGCTATCAGGCAATCTGTTTCGGCCGCCGCCCCTAGCCAGAACTTAGATCAACTCAACAGCGCCAGTCAATTTGCTGTTGAGGCAGGCGAAAGATTAGCGTGAGTCCGCACACATTCACATGTATCATCTTCCATTTCATAAGCTGATGTTTCTACATCCCGTATTTCTTTGTAATAGACAATCAATGAGAGAAATTTTAAAGAACCCTGCCGACGCGAAGTGAGTTTTGGTCTTGAAATATAACATCCTAGCTGCACAAGACTACAAAGGATCAATCTGAAGTACTGACATGCTGGCGCAAAACTTAGTATTATTAGGAAAGAATATCGACATATCCGCGAATGCTTCAGGATAATGACCAGCGGTTCGTTACATCTTTTCGTTTGAGTCAAAGTCGAATCCTTTCATCGAGCGTTGAGGCTGATATCAATCAATGTTTCTACTTCTCATTAGCTTTTGCTGAGATCGCCTCCATAGCCATTCCGCAGGTCATCACTGGAACGAATACAGTGCAAGAAGCAGTGGCGGGGGGTAATCCCGTGGACGTTATTCGACAAACGACAAGTACTCTTTCCGAAAAGGGACATTTCTCGACTAAGGCCTTACGAGAATCTATCGCTGAAAAGAAGAACAACAAAATCACGACGAAAGCCGAAAGACCAAAGTCTGGAGAGGCACAGTCAAAAAACAAATCCGACTTAAAGGAAGCCGCTAACAAGAAACAAATCGACCTCAAACAAAAACCAGAACGACCAATTGCAGAGGAGGGAAGTGGAAAAATTAAGAGCGTGACAAAAGACTCATTCACTCAGAGGAAAAATATGGCCTTGAAGGAAAAAGCGGCACAGCCAACGTTTGAGGAGGAGCTGAAAAATCCTAAGGCCTTGGGAGAAGCGCCCAAAAATTCCCCAGCAGAGTCGCAGGTCAAGCAGCATATCGAACCTCCCACCCTGAAAGGTCGGTTGAAACAGTCCGACGCGATGAAACCAGTGTCGAAATCTTGATCATCAAGGGAGCTAACGACATCACTAACCTGCACATGATCAAATGATTCCACTGGATCCTTTTGGCTTTGGCTCTGTACTCCACCGTTCTCCTTATTAAACCCTCGACCCGTCTTCTCTTTTTTTGTCCTATCATATCTTTGTGAAAAAAGCGAGATTAATATTATCATCTTTCTCATCAAAACTATTTGGGATTTGTTTCTTTTTTTTTCTCTTTACACAAGTGTTATATGCTGGACAAACTTGTTTTTATCCGTTCTGACATATCAAAAAATGGGTTTCATCAATTTCTTCAATGTATTAAAAATTTGCCAATACATACTATACATGAAGAAAAGAACAATGGGAAAAATGTCTACAATACCCGGACTGATAATTAAAAAAAAGAGGCTGGAGTTAATGGTTAGATGGCAGATCATACCTTGCATCAGTTGTTGGGGGAAAGGCTAACTTAAGTAAGTCCCTCCAACTTGAGGGGGGACTCTGTCCCTCAGGGAGCCTTTGAAGTAGGGACTTATGCAGAAAGTTAACCTTGAGGCCTGAGAAAATTAGGAAAACCACCTTTTTCAATCTTCTGTAGCAGCACCATTTTCCAGCTGCTGATTGTGTTTTTGGGGAAGCAAAAGATACACAAGATCATGGAGAATCATTCTGTTTTTTTTTTTAGGCCCTTGGGTGGCATTCAACTTGCCTTTTTTTGTGACCACAATTCTCCTGTTCCATCCTGCATCACACATTTTGCACTTTGAAATTGGCAATTTTACAATCAGCGGTGGGCTGCTACGCTTTTGGCCCAAAAAGCGTAGCGTAGCGGCGCTTTTTTTTCCATCAAAAAACCGTAGTGTTAGCGGTTTTTTAGCGGTTTTTTGCTACGCTACGCTGCACAACAGCGCTTTTAGCGGAAAAACCGGCCAAAAACCGCTAAAAACTGCTGTAGTGCAGCATAGTGGGCCCTTTTTTGCGGCCCACACGCGTAGCGTTAGCGGTGTCGTGGCGGAATTCCGCTACGCTACGCTAATCGCTAACAGCGATTCCGCTGCGTTACGCTACACTAACCGCTACGGTTAGTGTAGCGGCCCACCGTTGTTACAATCATTGTTATTAATCAAGGAGATGTGTTGCACATTAGCAAAAATAGTACATAGATGGGGACAGCTTGAATGCTTTAGACAAAATTCCCTCCCTCTGGTTGTCACAATGCAACAAGTGGTTTACCACTCTGAAAAAGGGGGGCAGGGATCTAGCTAAGGTAAGGGGAAAGTTTGGAACTTACCTCAGATGGTTGCTGGTTGGTATACCAAAGTTCAAACAGATACCAATTTCATCAGTGCCACAAGTCATGAGCCACAGTGCAACTGGTAACAATTGGACAATTGTGATCCCCTATACAGGTATGTATGCAGTTAGAACATCTCCAATGTGGGAGATATATTGGGGTGGTAAGCCCCATTTACCACCCCGCCACCACGGGTGGTATACAGGGTTGTAAACAACATTTTTGGTCCAAAAAATGTACTGAGTTTGTATATCTACCACCTCTGTACATACCTCCCCTGGTACCTCCATCAGATTTGTGAAACCACTTCTCCAACCTGTGAAACCCCCGGGCCCCACAATTTCAACCTGTTCACATGCAAATATCCCTCACTTGACCTCCCTCATCCAATCCTCAGTGCAGGTTTACCGCTTTGCAGTGGCACCCTTGGCTGATCTCAGGTGGTAAATCTGAAACTCAGGTGGCAAATCCAACTTATACCACCCCGGATTTACCACCTGCGGTGGAGTTGCTCTTAGATAGGCTTGACTGTATACAGCCAATCGCAAAAAAACCTTGCGGTTTTGGGATGGCTGTACTTCCAAAGTCTATTTTTGTGCCAACCAATTTTAGCACCACACAACCTGTACAGATGTTTGTGCATGTTCTGATTTGGCTGCCAAGGCCTTGGTGTGGGTCCTGATTCCTGCCCACTGCCAGGCAGGGGATGGCAGAGCCCCTCATGATGTTGTGTTTATGATCAGAAAATTGAGAGGATTACAATGATCCAACTCCCATACACTCAACTTTAAAAATGTGAGAGTTGGGTCCTGTGGCCATACAGGGCCACATACAGGAGAGAGTGGTGCTAAAAAAAGAGGTGCAACAAGAAAATCTTTGGAAATACAGCCATTCCAAAACCACAAGGTTTTTGGGATTGGCTGTATCATCACAGAATTTGAGATCCTTCTTTTCCTCATTGTAGATTGGCGATTGCATTGGAGGACTTCCCGTCGCGGTTTAGAGTGTTTTTTAGACCTCTCTCAGTTCTAAATTAACACTCTAATCACAATTACAACCAGCTCACATGAGGGCCTTTACTACAAGGCTTCTGAAGAAAGATTTTTTTCTGCCAAAAAATAAGACCTTCATGGTGTGAATCAAATTCTGCGAGGGTTGTAAATGCCAACGGGAAGTCATCCATTATACTATTTCTTCATTTAAACATTCCAACATTTCACCTATATTTAGTAGGTTCCTGGAAACCAAATCATACCAAGATTCTGCAGCAGGAAGTTTTTTGGCTTTCAACAACTCAAGTGACACATCTGTGAACCTAGATGCCATCAACCCCAACCAAATCAAGCCTGTGAATAGGAGCATTGGTGAAATTTTCCAAGTGAGCAGCCCACCAATCTTGTTTTGAACATAATGCCTGAGCTGAAGCAACAGGTTTTTAATCGTAATAGTCCAAAAATACCTTGAGAATTTCCTTAGTCCCCATCAGCCGGGTCCGCACTCTCCACTCCTCAAACACCAAGACTATGGCCAGTATCTCCATATCAAAAACAGGGAAGCTATGCTCCCTGTCTGACAGTATTTGAGAGCAATACCCAACCTGATAAAGATTTCCCCAAGAATCAGGTTGACTAAGGATTTCTGCAATAGCATAGGGCCGGCCCCCGGCCCACCATAGCCCAAGCTACTGAGATGAACAACCCACAGACTTGCCCAACAGATCTTTGAGTGAATGATTGCACAATTTAAACAAGTATTGATATGCCAAATATATATATATATATTGTCTTAGGAGTAGGGATCCAACATAAAATTCATCAGGTGTTTACTTGGAAAAGATTTAAAATGAGCTACGTATGGAAGGCACTTGATTTTGAAGGACCTACATATAATTTTCAGGGAAATCTCTCGAGCGATTACTTGAAGATTGGACATAACCAGATTGAGAGCAAAACCCCCGTGGGCTCAAATGGCGGGGTTCGGGTGTAGCCCGATCAAACATTTCCAGACAATTTGCCTTCGACTCAGCCTCAAGCAAAGTTCGAAATTAACTTCAAAAAAAGCATAGCATCTGCTTCCAATCGGGTCATACGATATCCTACCAACAGTCATCATACTTGAATATCCCGCTCTTGACTGACTCACGAATTCAGAAGGAACATGGCCGACCCAGAGTTAGAGGCAATTCGACAGGCGAGTCTTGGAAAATCATCTGTGCACACAAGTTACTAGAAGCTACGGAGCTGACCAAGAGTTCGCTCTCCAGAAACGATTGGCAGACCTCGCGAGTCGAGACGATGGCGCAGCCAGTAGTGTACCCTCCTCAGTCATGTCGAAACTAGGCGGCCAGCCGGCAGGAAGCGGCGAGGAAGAAGCAAAGAAGGCAGAAAACGAAGAGTAAGCTTGTTTCAGCATTATCTTCAAAATCGAAAGAACAAGTACCTGTGACACCCATCGGTCATTTTCAGGATTCGAAGAACAGCAGTAAGTCAAATAATCGATAACGATGCTCGCGAACGATGTGGGTAAACCTTTCTCTGAATTCGTCTACCAAAAAAAAAAAAAAAAAAAAAAAACATACAAGGTCGAAAGGATACGTTAGTTAAACCAGCTCCGGTCAACAGTATCGCGTATTGCGTTGGTCCGACCCCAACGGGCCCGTCAGATTGAAGACATGCTCATCAGGATGGCACAGTCTGGTCAACTGCGAGGGAGGGTGACAGAGGAACAATTGATCAGTGTTTTGGACCAACTGGAGCGTGCCGAAAGTGACTCGACTGCCTCAGTCAATCAACCCAAGAAGATCACGGTGCGTTCCTATTCACCGTCCTGTGATAATTTCTATCTATTCTCTAAAAAGAGACATTCAGTTGATGGACATCTACTTTTTTTTTTCTTTTCTGGAAATAATAGTATGTGCGAAAAGATGCGTTTGATGATGATGATTGGGATTTGTAAAGCTAGTCATCGTCGGTTCATTCAAGGCCTCATTATACCACAAGACGGGAAGGGTTTCTGTTTTGTTTTTCCTTCTTGTAGATCAATCATCCAGTCTCAGTCAACCTCTGAAATATATAGCACCAAAAAACTCGATCAGTATGTTCCAAATCCCAGAAAAAGAAAAAAGAAAACTCCATCATCCAAAGGTCATTCCACCCAAGACAAAACATGCTGAAATTCATCACATTTTCTCTTGGCTGGATTGTATCCTGAATTGAGACCGCCGAGAGAATGATGTTGGCTAAGGTATAGGAATTCCTTGCCAATATATCCCACACCACACGACTAACCGGTCAACCTACTGAGATGATGGCTTAGCCATTCTTGTTCCTGATCATGACCACACATTGAAACCAAAAAGCCATTGAAGCAATTTGTGTCCTGGGCTGAGTCGCTCTGGGAAAAACAAAGACCTCATGATTCATTTAGCCCTATTCTGCCCCAGAAAGATCCAATATTCATCTAGCAGCTCAGCAATTTGTATTGACCTCCTACTTTATCTTTCCACAAGTTTTCAATTTTTTTGTTAATTTGAGGAGAAAGGGTTTGTTTAAAATAACAATGTGAGTTTTTCCGGTTACAGAGATCTAGAGAATACCTCAAAGCTGCCTCGATGAACAGATACAATTTCCCTTTCAACGATTTTCCAACGGCTCTGAAGAGTTGAAATTACGGGTGATATGGACCTCAGCCCCAACACCTTCAGTAAGAACCAAAAATGATATATCGCTCAATTTGTAGGTCCAGATACATAAGCGCTTTGCTGGGCTTATGGGGTTGCCCCTCGAAAACCCACTCAAGGAGCTTTGTCTCGCCGGCACTATGGCCCAGGCGCCGTTTCGCTTGGAAGTACAGAGCTCGAGAAATCCAAAAGCATACACGGAAAATGATAGAATGGCTCTCTGTTCATAGTAAGTATTGTTTCATTCATTCAATGGGTCGTGGTGACCGAAGAATCCTGTAATTTGTGGCAACCGAGCTCTTTTGCTATCGTGAGAGCGGTTATATAAAAAGCCAATAGCGCTCACTGAGCCAGAAGCTACCAGCATGCACCAATTAAGCATCTGCGCGTCTCCAAGCTTGATTCTTAATTTTTTTTCTTTCCTGTCGAGGGCTATGTCGTGAGCTCAATAATTAGTTGTCGACATCAATTCTTGCTTCAAACGATTCGGCCTTGTCATGACAGCCCGGACCCTACAACATCAGCTTTTAATTTCCAGTACTGGCGATAAGGTGACCGACCCGGCGTTGAGCAGCCTCAATTGTACTACCACAGGGCCAATAATCTTGAGATCTATAAAGATGCTCTTGACAACCCAAAATAAGATAAGAGTCATTTAACCATCTCCATTGACATCAACTTGAATCCAACGTCTGGAGCAGTTAGTTCAATAACGGGTACTGTGAGCGCTTGGAGGGTTGCCCACCAGTCGGGTGTCGAGAGCTTCTTTAATTTATCACCCTTGCCATAGAATCTTCTCAGATGGAAAGTGGTGGGCATGCCAGTTATATAAACTCCGTGGATTTGTCTTCCTGCCACTTGCGATTCCAGTTTCCACAAAAAATTGCAATCTTTAAGATATCAGCTATAAAAGTAAAAGCTAATCAAGAGGCCGGTCTCTGTGAACGTTCAAGCTAATAGAAATCTTCAGCCACTTAGTATACCTTGCAAAACAATAGATTCCATCTCTCCCCTCATAATACGCCTGGGACAAGATGAACCCAACTACCTGCTTACTTGTTAAGATCTCCATCTTGGTTGCTTTATCATGCCAAGTCCTCGCATCTGAACATTTCGGAGGCGGTGAACTGCGTAGTAAACTCGAAGCCCTCCATGGCCCAACCCGAAAACTTCGCCGTCGGCAAGTCGAACTAGCTGGGGCAAATGACGCTGCTACCAAAACTGACCCGGCTAAAGCGGCTGCTGCAGCAACGGACACCAAGACCGAGATTAAGGCGGATCCCAAGGCGGATGCTAAGGGTGATGTCACCCTGAAATCAGATGCAGGAAAGGATGGTGATAAGAAGGAACAAAACGGCTCCAAGGAGGAACAGTTAGCCACTAAACTGTTCGAGGGAATCATCGAGATGGGAATCGGCTTGGAAGCGGTGACCAACTTGGGAAGCAGCACGAAAGAAATCCTCGACGAGAGCAAAAAAGTCACCCAGGTCGTCCCGAAACTGAAGACTCTGACAACTGACCTCCTCGCCGCCGTTCCTAAGAAATCCGACGAGCTCAGCAAGTCCGTTGAAGAGTCCAACCAAGCCGGAGAAGCTATCACGTAAGTAGAAGCTCGATCTTGTCAGTTCAGTAACAGTTACACTCTCTTGCGAAAAGGTCTGATGTCTTTTCTGCTTCGGTTATTATGTATGATCATCAAGTAAATCCCTCGCTGTCATAGAGGCAAAAGTCGATGATGCCAAGTCAGTCCATCTCGGCTGAGTTCTATCCATTTCTTCCAGAGGTGATAAATAAACTTGATAGGGTAGTTGAAACTGACATGAAGTCATCTTTGGTATCTACCAGCACAATCAAAAGTGAATACAAAAACTTGGAGAAATCATTCATTCAAATCCTGAGCGGTAAGTGATTTAGTCCCATAGCATAGACGGAGGTCTGGAAAACCAGAAGACTACCAAAACTGACACTTTTTTTTTCAAAAAAAAAAAAAAAAATTCCATTAATCCGAAAGCTTCTGACGGTGTAGCAGTTGCAGCGATCCCCAAATTGGCCGAATTAGCCAAACAACAACAGGGTGCTGGCAATCCGAGAGGAAAGGCCGATGATGGCAAGACAGCTGGCGATGTGCAAGCTAAAGCCGGGCAACCGGCAGTTGCGGAGGTCGCATTGGAGAAGAAAGACGAGGGAAAGAAGGCGGCTGAAGAGCAGGACGCTGCTGCCCAAAAGGCTCTTGCCGAGAAAAAGGCCGAAGATGCTAAGGCTCCAGTCGAGCAAAAACCTGCCGAGCAAAAACCTGCCGAGCAGAAACCTGCCGAACTCAAGACTGAAGACAAACCGCCTGCTGCAACCGCCGCCGAACCTAAGGCACCTGAGCCAATTGACACCGGGGTGGTTGTTCCTGGCCAGTGATTCGTTTTGAGTAGAAGAGCGTATTTCTCAAAAGTTCTTGAGCGGACTTGAATATTATTCTCTCTTACATATCTCTTTCTTGAATCTGCATATTATTGGATGGCTCATGATCAAACATCACTGTAATTAGAATAAATTAAGCCTGAGGCTGCTCTCTATGTTGTTGGTATATGTATACTTTTTTGCCTCAAAAATTAAAATCAATCAGTTTCAAATTTCAAGAAACATTGTATCATTTGACAATTTGATTAGTTACTTTTTTTCTTTTTTTTTTGAACAAAGCAAAAAAAAAAAAAAAAATAGAAATTATCAAAAAAAAAAAAAAGAGTGAGGATTTACTTCCAGTCAATGAAATGAAATGAAAAGTGCAGATAAATGAGGGACAAAAAAAGAAAACAAGTAAATACGCTATCAAGTGCAACAAGCTTTTCAGGACCGCGTTCAGACTCTCAAGTCAAAAGCTGTGGAGATATCGAAGTTGTGCATGATAAGACCAGGTTATAAATTTTGCATCGATTGACAAGTTTTCCAGCTTGAGGAGAATAATCGATTCTCTCTCTTGAGGGCCTCTTGACTACTCCTGCAACCAAGAATTTTTTTGTGTTTCAATTTTTTTTGTTAATCATGCATTACATAGTGATCTTGTTCACAGATATAAAACCCATCTCAAACTGAAGTGATCAACCATTTGGAATCTTTCTCTTGAGTTTTGCCCTCTGTTTCACTCTGATTACATTTGCCAAGTCGAACTCCTTAGCTCATCCATTTATGTTATATGTCTTCTGGGGAATAATTAGTTGGGATGGCAATGTTATCGCTAAGGTAGCAAGCTGCAATGCCATGGGCTGAATTCTTGATATCGTAAAGGCAGTCCTTCTGATTTTGACATGAAGCTATTCCCAGCTCAACCGCGAATAAAACATTCCTTCTGCCCAACTTTAATTGAGCGGTTATTTCTCTCTCAACCATTCTTGACGATTGATATATATTTGATACGAGCATGGATGGCAGGAGACAGGGATGCTTTCAGTTTGATACCTCCCAAAATCACCGGTTGTCCAGTTGTTTGAGTGGACGCTTTGCGTGACCCAGAGATGTAAGTTGATTACAAGGCACGAGAGATGATAATACATGTCCAAGCCCATAATAAGGGTGCGGCTCAAAGAGCAGTGATTAGGATGGGAAGCCGAGAGGGCAGGAGGTATGGATGTGATGACATGGAAAGAGAATGGGGTTTTATGTACATCCAGCGCAGGTTGAGGTTTTCTAATACCCTCCACCTGCACCGTCTTCTCGATGATGGCCCGCCCGTTCTCGTCTTTGGGAGTCTTCTCGTTTCGGGCAATTCAGAGCAGAATGACCCAAGCCTACAAAAGCCACAAAAAAAGAGGACGTTAAATTTCCAACCAAAAAAAAAAAAAAAAGGGCAAGAGAGGGATGACGAACCGCCACAGAATTGACAGCCGTTGGCGCCACCATTGACGCCAGCGTTAGGGTCTTCGATAGTTTGAAGGAACTGAGGGATCCTCTGTTTGGCCTCTAGGAGGAGATACTTGAGGTCGAGGAGGGTGGGTTCGGGAGAGTTCATGTTGATGAACGTGGTGGCGATTCCGGTCTTGCCCGACCGCCCAGTCCGGCCGATCTGATGCACATAGTTCTCGATCTCCCCCGGCATCGTGAAGTTGATCACGTGCTGGATCTCCGCAAAATCTAGCCCCTTCGAGGCGACCCCCGAGGCCACCATCACGTCCTTCTTCCCAGACTTGAACGACTTGATCGCATACTCTCGCTCTTCTTGAGCTGTTCATTCACCATTCATCGCCATCAGCAGTTATCCTTTGCTTTCAGTAATTCTCTCCCTTTTTCTTGAGAAAAATCATGTCCTTACTTTTGCTCCCGTGAATGGCAACTGCTTCAACACCTTTTAGTAGCAAGTATTCCTGAATATCTGTTAAATAGCAAAGAACCCATGTCAGTCATTCAGCAAGTCTTTTTTTTTATTGCCCATCTGGATCTGAAAAAGAAAAGTACCATCGACTTCGTTTTTATTATCACTAAAGATGATGACGGGGGGAGGAGTTTTTTGGAGACATTCGAGAAGGTAGACCATCTTGGCCTCCTGTTTAACGTATTCGACCTCCTGTATGACGTCCAGATTAGCGGCCCCAGCTCTACCGACGTTAACGACGATTGGCTGAACGAGACTGTTTTCGGCGAAGTCTCTGATAGTTTTAGGCATCGTAGCGGAGAAGAGAAGGGTTTGCCGTTGGCGCTTGAAGAAGCTCATGATGTTCCGGACGTCGTCCTCGAAGCCCATGTCGACCATCCGGTCGGCCTCGTCCAGACACAGATAGGTGCAGTTGTCCAGGTTGAACTTGCGCTTCTCTAGCATGTCTTGCAGCCGACCTGGCGTGGCTACAACCATGTGGAACCCTTTCGACATCACGTGCGATTGGTCTGCCATCGAGATTCCCCCAATGCACAGCAACGTTCCCAGTTGTGGGTACTTCCCCGATTGGGCACAGGCTAGTGCCATCGCGACTAGGCCTTCGTAAGTCTGTCGGGCCAGTTCTCGCTGTTCAAATAATACCAAAAAAAAGGAAGCTCAGTAAAGCTCTACTGAAAAGTAATCAGATTGAGTGCTCACAGATGGACAGACGATGATCCCAACAGGCCCCTCGCCCTGTATGAATGGTAGTTTCATTTCGGCCTCCAAGGCTAATAGTAAGAGCGGCAGAGAGAAAGCGAGGGTTTTACCAGAACCGGTAAACGCGATTCCGATCATGTCTCTTCCGGAGAGTGCGACTGGCAATCCTTGAAGTTGGATGGGTGTTGGCAGTTTGATTTTCTTCTCTTTGAGATATTTGAGCACTGGAGAGGGAAGTCGCATGTCCTGAAAATGTTCGATGGGTGGGGGACAGTTGTCGCCCTCGACCAAGATCCCGAGCCGTTCTCTGAGCTTTGAGTTTTCTTGAGCCGTCCGATTTCGGATGTACCCAGGAGGACTCCAGCTGGTCCTCATGGGCTCGGTGTATTGGACTCCCTTGGCCAGCTCCTGTGCGCCGCCCAGCTTCTTCTTCTGTGCTGCGATCGCCTCGATCACCTTGTGTTCCTCTTCCAGTTTTTTCTGTGCTTCGGTCTTGAAGGCATCCAGCTCGGCCTGTTTGCGCTTGACGACTTGGGCTTCTTGGAGCAGGGTGGTCGTCGACCTGCTAGGGAGTTGTTCCTCCTCGTCCTCTGAATCATTCTCCCGCGAGTCGCCCTGCCCTTCGAGCCCTCTTGATGCCCCTCTTATCCTCCGATTCGTTTCCCTCGTGCTGCTGCTGTGGTTGTTGTTGGAGGTGGTGCTAGTGTGTTGGTGTCGAGTGTCGGCCTTCCGACTGAGCTTCTTGTCCAACAGCTTGTGTAGCTCGGCCTCCTTCCGTTTCTTGACTGGTACGTAGGGCACATATCCGTCCGACTCGTCTCCCGACTCGTCCTTGTTGTTCTCCAGTCTCCTTCGCTTCGGGGATTCGTCGCTCGCCATCCCTGTTGGTTCGTGGATGGTCCTTGGGGAATGTTGCGGTTGAGAGATGGGCTGCACTGTAACTTGCTGAAGGAACACTTACAGAGGCGCCTCATTATCTAGGTAACTTAGTGAGCCATCCAGTCTAACATTCGCCGAGCGGGGCGGGCCTTCGGGTCTGTTGGCCCGCCCCGACATTGGCCCTGCCGCTGCGCCACCTACGCTGTCACAACAATTCCAAGGCGACGCCGGCTTGGCGGGGTTGTACGCTGACCCCACGAACAACGCCTTGAAATGAGGCGTCCAACTCGCCCGCTGTGTGTTTGCCATGGCTCTGCGAAATATCTAGTCTGTTGATCAGGGTCTTGAAGACCCTCTGAAGGCAGTTCATACGGCTTCCATGATGATGAAACACGGCAGACTATGTAGTGGTCTTGCAGCCTGCCGACCATCTCCGATACATGCTCATGGATTATAAGAAGGTACAATTTGCCTCACTCAAAGCTCTCTATCACCCCCCAATATAGACTGTAAATACCCAAAACCTCTGGCACTTTGCCTGTTCTCAGCAACTTGTGTATATATACCAAAAATTGTGTTTCTTCAACGCGAAAGCTTTCTTTTTCTCCGTATTTTCAATCAACATACATAAGGCTTCGGTATTCCCATCATCATGTTACAGTTCCTCAGATTGATCGCTTTAGTATCGCTTATTGCTCCCTGGGGGGTAACTTGCGAGGACTCAGAAGACGACGCTCCCCAGGAGCGGTACTTCGGATGCCGCAGGAACGTCGACGCAATTTGCACCGCCAGTACGGAAGACGCTCACCAACAAAATCGTGCGTGAATAACATTCGTTCTCTTATACCATTAATGTTGGCAGACCATGAGCATTCAAGGAAGCTCAATCACGCCCGGGGGGTTTTTTTTTTCTGATGGAAATTCACTGGAAAAAAAGTCACATGGGCCATAAGATTGCATCATGGCAAGAGGGATTACAAATGCCCTGAGGAGAATTATCCACTATGTTGTAGTCAGGGTGACTTCAAAATTGGGGTGCGTGATTCATTTGCCTTTCCATTTCACAGTCCTTCTCAGTTGCAATACTTAAGTCTGGGTTCCTACTTGGTGACCTTTCCAGAGTGCCACTTCGTTTTTACTTGTATCAACCGATGCCACTGCATTTTGTGATCCCGGGGGCCAATGAACAAAAGCCCGACGTCGTCTTCGTTCCTCTTCAAAGTCAAAACCCGGATCTGGTCGCCAATCAAGGCTTTGATTCAACAGGCTCTTCCACTATGAGCCATTTTGACTTTCTTTTTTTTGGAACTTGGCTCGCTCTCTTTTCTCTCCTCTTCCCCAAAACCCATCTCGTCCATACTTCGTATGCTTTTTTTCGTTGTCCCAAGAACATTATTGTACTGATCATCTTGATGTATTCTGCTGAATGGTACAACTGCCATAGCGTCTGAGTGCTTGCAATCCTTACATTCCCTGAACTCTGGCCCAAGTCTCTATTTTCTTTCCTAAGCTCAACACAATTCACCACAAACATTTGATCTTTGATTTGTATTCATCTCCATATCCATCTATGTATCATTGAGAATAATACATAGATTAACGCAGTCTCTTCGTCATGGCTTACTCCAGTCTCCATTGTCACCTCGCTCCTTCTCTGACTAGATTAAACCCCTCTGTATTCAGGGGGGGGGAGGGGGCTACTGGTTTGTCAGATAAGGATAAGCGGTGAGTGTTCACTCTTACTGCGCGCACATGCATCACATTTCAGTTCTCCTTTTGCCAAAGGAAGCGGTAAGGATTCACAGAGTTTCTCTTGACTGATCTATCTAATCTTTTGAAGGCCAATGTGCCCAAAATATCCTGTGTCAATATAGCAAAAGATGCTCATCCTTGGTCAGAATTTTTGTTAGCCAAACCATTAAATTTTTTTTCAATATCAAGCAGTTTCACAAAAGAATTGCAATGTAATTCAACTCTCAACCCAGTAGAAATTGGACATAAATTGGGTTCGGATAGTGGCATAGTATTGCATTGGGGCATATTGGTTGCAGGGTTGGAAGGGGTAACACTATGGATAATGGGTCTAGGGGACACTGATTTATTTCCCTTTGGGGAAAAAAATCCATCCTAAAGCATAGGATGTTGCTTGTAAAGTAGATGATATAAAAGCTCTGTGAAATGTCATACACAAAGTAGGCATTATCTTTCTGTGCAGTGCAGCTAAAAAAAATGAAAGTCAAACAAGCCCGCTCACAGTGCAGCACACCATAATGCTTGTGACCTGATTGCCCAGGTTGGAGAAGGTTATAAGATACCCTTCACCAGTGATGATGGTGGAATCTCCAAAAGTAGAGAACTTAAGGGGAATGAGAGAGTGGAAAGAACAGGAATTAGATAATAGAAAAAAATCTACAAACAGGTGGTGGGATGGACCTGAGTCCACTATTGGAACATTGTCTGATTCAGTGGTGTTGGCATGATCAAATCAGACCCCATCGTTCAGATCATCAGCTAGGTTGCCATGGAATCGGATACACCACTATGATTTTGTTTGGCTTCAGTTTCATTGGTGGTAGCAGCAATGGAACACTATGCTACATTAAGCTAAATAGACCACTAACATTCAAAACAGTGCTGCAACCCTGTAGTGCTTATTATTCTTATTGCCTTCTGGACTTCTTTGACACATTCCCTTCCTTCAACTACTCTGCCGACAAACCTGTTCTTCACTTCCCATCAACCTTTTGTCAATCCTCAAGAAGTCAATTAGGTCTACACTTTGACCTGTTCCCTTCTTTGTCAAAAGACTTCACTCATTGACACACATCTCTCTTAGTCTTTTTATCCTTCTCTCTCAGAGAATCCATATTGGTTGCTAAATCCATGCAAGCTAAGAGCATTTGCATTGGTTGGGTTAAATTGCCGGGTTAAGGCGAGTTAACCCGACCAAGCCTGTTTGCGCACTCGCATTGATTCGAGGTTAACAGCAGGTTAGTTAACCAAAAGTTTGATTTCAGGTTTGTGGTCGCTAAATTTAGCGATCGCTAACCAGAAATTGAGCGATTTTGCGGGGAGTTGTCCTCCAGGGGTTTGTTAACCCGGACGGATGCGTTTGACAACAGTAGGCTAGCAAACCCGGACCTCCCACCCAGGTTTCCTAACCTAAAACTTAACCAGACCAATGCAAATGCTCTAAGGACTTTAGTCTGGAAATTCAACCACACCAGGCTGAGCTAAGGTCAAGCCAAACTATCTTGTGGCTCTGATTTGAGCTAACCATTGCTAGATCTAGCAATGGTTAGCTTGCTTGATGGTTAGCTTGCAAGCAAGCTAAAAGCAAACACCCAAGAGTGTACTTCATTTTGGTGCCCTCCTGCAAACAATCACACACCTCTACTTCAAATCACACCACACACAGTCACAGCTTAACCTCAAGCCACACCAGTGTGACTGAATACACTTTGCTATATTGGCTTAGTGATAGCCACAAGTTAAAACTGCTGGCTTTTAGCTCAACCAGTAAACATGCTCTTAGAGTCTTATTGTGTCTGATTTTTCTTTTGTTCTATCTTGTGACCTTGTCTCTTGTGCTGTTTGCCTTTAGGTTAAAATATCTTTCACACACTTTTCACACCAGAGGGGCCTGTCCATTGGGTACATGAGGGGGGCACAATCCAGTAACCATTCAGCTGGACATTCCCCTCTGTTCTGAAGAGTGTGTGAGATGTCACCGCATATCAGGTGAAATATCACACACTAATCACAAGAGGAGTATTCCCAACCACTAAATGAGGGTGGAACATTTGTGATACCATTCATCTGGAAGTGACCCCCTGGTATGAACAGTGTTTGATCAATGCTTTCCACTTTGATGGCAAATGATTTCAGTATTTTCCCCAAACATTCATACAATTTGGCTACCCACCTCTAGAGGGGGTTTCCTGGGTCCTCTCCCAACAGATGTCTGTAAATAATATTTGGGATTTGTTGATGAATCCTTGGGAGTTGTTTTATTATTTCCTATTAAATGTTAGTAAACTGTGATATTATGAGGAATTTCTAATCCTAGAATATTTACTATAATATTGATACTTCTAAGACTAGATTCTCTGAGTGTTATTTTCTCACATTATTCTAAGATATTTTCTTTGACCAGTATCTTACATAAATAATCTAGAAGGGGGATTTTTATTGGCTTGGCCTTTCTTGTATGTAATAATGGTTCATATTATACATAAGAACATGTGTATTATAACTATTTATGTTTCAAAATGATTATGACTTTTGATGAATGAAATTAGGTGGTCTGAAACATTATTTAGGATCTTCAGCTTTAGTATGTATTTATATTTCATTTTAAAAAAATTGTGTTTATTTTATGTGGTATGGATAGGATTGATCTTACCACATTGTGAAGATGATTTGCGGTCAGAAAATAGTGAAAGAAGCGAATGTTTATAGCATCATGCATACACTTGTTGACTAAATCATTCCAGATTGCATAATTGGAGCCATCTGGCAACAGTCTGTTTGCATTGAGGATCTTTGATATTGTAGGACCACTGTTTTTCACAGTGGTTTGATTGAAATCACCCTCACTTTTCACTGTCAACATAATAAGCTGGGTTGAAGTTGTCCCAATTTAACTAAGATGTGCTCAACCAATGTAAACTTGGTTTGCCTGAGGTTTCTGCCAGAGGGACTTGTGACTTATCAATAATTCTTGCATGAAAGTTTTTTCAGTTTTGGTGATGTTCAACTTTGAACCCCTAGAGTGCAACTTAGATAAAACCTAACTTTCTAAGTTTTTGGTATATTATTGGCCTACTTATTTGCATTCCTTTGATACAATTTGAAGCCACATTCTACATGTTTTCATGTCTGTTTTAATTTTTCAAAATTTTAGGCCCCATTTGATTGTCTGTGATTTGTAATTTGGAGGCAAGATTTGGCGCAAGTTTTCCCAAAAATTTTATATTGTTCGATATTGCATGGTCCAAATTGGCACCAAACCTTAGCCAAATCACATATCATGATTTGCAGCCAAATGGGGCCTTAGATTTCTTGATTTTCTTCACAATGTGATTTGATAACAAGACAACTGTCCATTTGCACTACCAAGACAACTAGAATCCAATTATTGTTTGTTTTCTACATAAATTTTTTAAACATGTACAGTCCAGCTAATGCAAGTCAACAAATATGTACATTAATGAAGGGACAAGGATGTGATCCAGGAAAAATGAATCTTTGGGGGTAGGGCTTGAAAGTTTCACGAGTTGGGAGGATTGTAACAAAGAGAGGCCTCGAGGCTCGAATATCCGGAAGTCTCATGCTAGAAACCCTGATAAGTCAAGTCCCTCCGGCAAAGCCTCAGGCAAGGAGGAACTTGGTTATTTGGGAACCGATACCGTGTGTGTGCATTAGCTTACCGGTGTGTGCCTTACCATCAGGTAAGCATCTAGTAATCTAACCTTACCGAGTTGTGGAACCAATATCTTGTGTGTACATTAGATGTGCCCCTTACCTTCAGGTAAGTATCTAACCTTACCGAGTCTTGGAACCAATACCGTGTGTGTGCATCAGGTTACCGTGGCGTGTCCCTTATCGTCCTCAGGATCACTTTATCATACCTTGGCTCTGAGAACTAGTCTTCCGGGACTGAGACCCTCTGAGGCAGTACGACTTCCATGACGATGGAGCACGGCGGCCTAGTCTTGCAGGCTGCCGACCACCTCCAATCCCTGCTCATGGATTACCAAAAACGTATATATAACTCTTCATTACATTTGCCTGACTGGACGCCCCCTATCCTCTCTGCAAACTGTAAAAAAAATTCTGGCATTTTCTCTATTCTCAATAACTCGTGTATATAACACCGAAATTGCATTTCTCCAACGCCAAAGCTTTCTCTTTTTCCGCATATACTCTCACCTAGTTTCAAACAATAGAAGGTTTAGGTATTCCCATCATCATGTTACAGTTCTTCAGATTGGTTGCTCTAGTATCGCTTATCGCTCCCTGGGGGGTAACTTCGCAGGACTGGCACTTCGGGTGCAAAAGGAACGTCGACGCAATTTGCCGCATCGACATGAAAGACCCAGAAAAAGTAACACGTGAGTGAATACCCGATTTCTCACCATGAATGTTTTTAGACCATACGCATTCAAGGAAGCTCAATCAAGTCGTTTTTTTTTGTTTTCGTTTTGTTTCTGACGGAACTTCACTTGAAAAAAAAGTCAAGTGGGCCGAAAGATTGTATCCAGGTAAGAGGGATTACAAATGCGGGTCGGGGGCTTATCCAATTTGTTGTCATCAGGGTAGATTTAATATAAACGGGGTGAGTAATCATCAGCCTTGCCATCCTGTCCTTCTCAGTTGAGGTACTTATTTAAATCTGAGTGCCTATGATGACCTTTCAAATTCTAGAGTCCCACTAAGTCTCTATTGGTACCAGTTCAAGACACTGTATCCTGTCATGGCGGGGGCCAATGAAAATGGACGTTCCCCATCAAAAAGAAAATCCGGCTCTGGTCGCCCGTATGTATCACCGGCACTCGTCTTGGTTAGCCAATCAAGGCTCTGATTGAGCAGGCTCTTCCACTCTGCTCCATCCTTTGGAGCCTGGCTCTCTTTTCTCTCCTCATCCCTCAAACCCATCTCGTCCATACTGTTTATGCTTTCTCCGTTGTCCCAAGAACATTCTTCTACTGATTATCTTGATGTATTCTGCTGAGTGGGATAATTGCCATAGCGTCTAGTGCTTGCAATCCTTATATTCTCTGGAATCTGTTCCAAGTTTCTATTTCCTTCCATGTGCTCGAGGCATTTCATCACACACAAACATTTGATCTTTGTCATGTATTCATTTCCATATCCATGTAAATATGTAACATTAGTGTTACAGCACATACCACATAGCTTAACTTGGGGGGGGGGGCGTCCCGCATCCCCCCTCCGAAGACGAGTGACTTGATCAAGTTAAGCTTCTTAAAACCAGGCAGCATGTGCGGCCGGTGGAAAGAAACCTCTCAGATGCACTTGGTGGTGAGTACTCGTTGAGATCTATGACAACCAGCCCAGAAGCGCTTTACATCTGTGAATTGAAGCACCGAGTTCATCCGTCCGGCGTGTTTTTCCACTCGGTTGCAATAGGTCTACAGTTCCAAGCATCACAACCTCCCGGCTTACTCTGGGTTTGAAATCGACCGGGTTGCTTGGGGAAGCTAGCTATAGATCGACAAGGAGAGCTTTGGTTTTTTTGTGACTGTGCCGGGCTGATGCAGTGGGGCGTGAACAAAGACAACAAGCACTTGGCCCTTGCCATGGTGATGTCATCATGATCCACCGTAAACACCATCGACCCGAAACATCAGGATCAAGATCAAGCGGTAAACGAATGTCCCAGTCCAGCCGCGTCCTCCTTCCAAACCATGTAACTCGAGGGACTGACTGGCAAAAATAAATCATCCCATACCAATAACTAATCTCACAATCCAAAGGACAGCTATGTACAAAACAAGAGGGGTAGGAGCGAAAAAGCTGAAAGACACAAAACCTAGTGTCAAGAGTAAAAGCCAAATGGATTGTGCCAGGTCAATAAGAAAAGTCTGACCTTCTGTCATCGCGTGGCCAGCAACTCAGGATTTGAAGTCGCAGGCCACAGTGCTTCTATCTGAATAAATGAACGGAATCCGTGCGGTCTGTTAGAAATACGTGCTCGGATAAAGAGAAAGAGCGATGGAAGTGGACGCTTGAACAGGATGGGAAGGTGACAAAATTGCACTTTTTTTTACAGAACCCAAGGGGGGGCCACACCGCGTGTTTTTTCCTAGTTACTACCGCCTGATCCAGTGCAAACTTGATAACTACCGCTGGGATAGACACTTGTGATTTGTGAGAAACACGAGAACACTATGTTTGATTGGAGTATCAGAGTGAGACACAAGAGGGAGAGAGGGGGGAAATGAAAAGACTTGTGCACCTAGTTAGATGCAGAAGTAGTGGCCAGAGAAAGTGGTCCCCTACGGTGGAGATGGTCTTGGCTTCTCCTTCTAGCCTCACCATGTCACTTCCCAGTTTCCAAATCAAATTTTGCGGCAACATTGGTGGCATTCAACATTCTCAATGGTGGAAGATGTGCTTAATTTGATGGGATTTAGTCAATAATTAGGAAACTGTTGTGGCACTTTTGTAGCAAGATACGCAAGGATCTACCAACCAGAAGAAACAAGTCGAAGCAGTCCAAGGTTTCTCTCAACCTGAGCTATTGGGGCCTTCTGGGATCCTGCATACCCATCCAGGAGAGATTTTGGTAGAGGGCTGGTTGATTGGACAGCAAGTGGCGCATACATTTGGTATCTCTGATTAGCTCTGCAGCGGAAGTTTTCCTTCTATCACACACTCCAAAAGTGGACGGCTTTGTTTACCTCCTTCACCCTCTTCCATACATAATCGCACTCTGCCTTCAGCAAACGGACGGAATATTAAATATTACTTTCCAGTCTGGATTACATCAAGAACATTCACCCTCTATGCTACTTCGGATCCACATCAACTAGCCATGTGGGCAGATCTCGCCAGATTCTCTCCTTATGTAGTCGCAGCCTCTCCCGGCAGGCCATGTGTTTGATGTTACGCATATCTTCCGTCCCACAATCCATGGATTGTTAGCGGGACCAAGATTATTGGCCTTGAGCATACATACCAGACCGACTCGTTACTCGTTCAGATTGCCTGATGTCAGCTTATGGGACTACAAACAAGTTTCATCATCCTTTTTGCAGCATATCGCAACACCAAGGAGGTACATACGACCTTTATTAGACAGACCCAAAGTGGATCTCGAAACACTTTTCAGCCATCTTAAACACACTAAATATGTGTTTGTTTGGTTGCCAACCACGGCTCCACCCCCTTCGATTTGGAGCCGGTTGGGAGGGTAGATGCTTGCCAGACATACATACATGGTCTTCATCGTATCTAGAATATATCCTCATCAATTGGAACGGCGAATAATGCTACTCTAGCTCGGGGCTTCGAACTTGCTGGCCGATGGGGGGATGTCGTCTTTTATGGCATACCATATACATAAACATCTCGGCATCGTTGAGCGGGTTGTGGACCCCTCAAGCAGCGCTGATCGCCGCGTTGGAAACATTCCAGGAAGGCTGTCGGCCCAGCTCGACGAGCAGAACAAGCTAAATTATTTAAGCACAAACTTCAAAGTGACTTGCCCACTCTCATGCCAGTGCTTCTCAGGCCTGGCTGGTTCATTCATTTGGCAGGCCTGGCCAGAGTCCATCGCCAATCCAGTTCACAGCCCACAAAAGACCTCTGGGGACGCCCGCCGTAAAAAAAAACCAAGTCGGGTTACTTGCGCTAAAGGCCTCTTCCTGACTTCGAACATGTATCAAAAATTATAACCTCCGTACATCTCTAGCACCCCCACGATCTCCTGTTGCCTGCCTATTCAATCCCTAGCTTGTTTTGGAAATCGTAATCGTATACATCTCTCCACACCAAGAAAAAAAAAGGAGCTATTGCCTCGTTGCTTCATCATCCCATCGCAGTCGCCCACTAAATAGCAGTACGCACCGCCGAGACGCGGAAGAAACCTTCATTCATCGGCAGACATCGCGGCTTGCGGTTATCAGGAACCAGGATCGATTGCAAAGAACCGAATAATTGACGTGTCACCGCGAGGGAAGCCTTCAACATTATCATTCTTTCTACGTAAATATCTCCACCTCCAAATATCAATTGACGGACCATTGTTGTGCATACACATCACATTACAACTCGACGGAAACACAACATCGATTGTCTTCAATAGCTCCAGAGTATTATTCACCTCTCTCGCACTGCGTGCACACCCAACTATTAGAGCTACTTAAGCGGTGTCCCAGTGTGTGCATTTCCGTGGCAGCTTGTACCCTCCGCCTCGACTGTGCGAACACCATCTTCCAGCCAGGCAATTTTTGGGATACTCGTCACCCTTTCTCCGTTGGACAATCCAAAGTTTGGGTAAAAAAAAAGCCCCTACTGCTTCTGCGTTTCACTCTCTCCCCGCTTCCTCTACTCATAAATAAGTACTACGCAGTCCGAACATACTGTTCTGTCTGCCGGATTCGGCTAGCCCAGAGGCTAAACTGGAACGAGCCTCAGCAGAGGCATAACAGCGACCAACCGCAGTCTCCACTTTAACGTAGTTACTCCACAGAAACCGAACAAGATCTGCCCTAGGTAACCTTGAGCACCCTCTGAGCTCCCGCCGATTTCATCAAAAACGTTGCGCAGACAAATCGATTGCGCCGAACCTTCGGTGATTGGCTGAATCATCTCTTTAAAGACGCCACTGATCGACGACTTGTCGCCCCCCCCACTCCCTCAAGAATCTTTTCTCCTTCGACATCAAATCCCACCATGGATATCCCACTCAAGGAGACCAATCGACAGAATCTGAGCTCCCAAGCCGAGCTCAGACAATCTGCTAGTACACCGCCCTTTCCTTCAACTGACCGCACCAGTTCCTCCAAGGGGAACGACCACAAGCTTCTAACATCCTCTGTCGAGAAGCCTGAGCTGGATGAAGAAATATGGAAAGAACAAGCCTCAGAACCCGAAGATCTAGAATCCGTCATCCGTTTCCTCCAACAAGTAATCGCCGACAATCAGTAAGCATCTTGCGGCCTCGACTCGCCGCTTTATGACCTTCAACCAACAGAAAAAAAAAAAACTCTAATTTCAATGTATGCTTCAACCGTAGAGATGATCTTAATTTTCCCGGCCACGTCCTCGATCGAGCCACGGAGGCTTTACAGCCTGGCGTTCCGCCCGAAGCTGTACTGGAAATAACCAACGCTATCCGGGCAGAGCTGAAGCTGGCAACAGAAAACTCCCCCTATCCAGAAGTATATTCATTCCCCCTCATCATTAAATCTGTAAATCCTTCTTACGTGTTGATCACCCTCTAAAAAAAATCAATCACCTTGTTCCACAACTCAGGTCCGGGCGATTGTGGATGCCTTCGATGATCCCACAACGCCGGTGACCACATTCCGGTTGGTCATTTGCCCTCTCACGTCTCCGACTACCCCTGGAGCTCATGATTTTGTTTTACATGTACTTCTAGGATGTGGACGATTGGGATCTTCTTGGTTTTCTTAGGCACCGGCTTGAACCAGTTTTTCGCCCCTCGTCTCCCTTCGATCAGTCTCAGCATCACCTTCGCACAACTTGTGGCATACCCTCTTGGATGTCAGTTATGCTCTCCACGGCCATATCTGATCAACCCACTTACTTATTGACTCTCTGGTGCCGATCTCAGGTTTCATGGCTCGTGTTCTGCCGACCAGGCTGTTTCGCATCGCCGGATACCAATTTAGCCTCAATCCTGGTCCTTTCAAGTAATTCACTTTTCGCAGCAGTTGTTCATCTGAGATAATCAGGCTTATTTCTATTCATGATCTTCGCATTCCAGTATGAAGGAGCACATGTTGATCAGCATTGTAAGTCCACAAGAGATTTGACGACGTTATAAATGCCTTGTGTCGTTTGGCTCCACATGCTTATTTGTTTCACCTCCGCTTACAGATGGCCAATGTATCTTTTGGAGGGGCATACGTACGTCTTTACCCTGGCTTTTGATCACTTCGTCTGATGTTTGAACTAGCAAGCTGAAAGGCTTGTCATTAGGTAACCGATATCATAGCAGTGCTCAGGATCCCGAGGTTTTACAACAACCAGGTCCTGGGAACGAATGCTGGATTCCAAATAACAATGGCGCTCAGCTCTCAACTCATCGGATATACACTAGCTGGCCTCACTCGAGAGTACGTCGATGGTTGCTTGCTGAATACACGTGACCCGGTGTGATTAACCTTCTTTCTATCGTCTTTCTCTTCCGTCTGTCTTCGTAGATTTCTGGTCTATCCTTCAGCAATGGTAGGCCTTTTTTTTCGTGTCACCATGGATTCAAACCTGAACAGTTGAATTAACCTTATGATTGAAGGTGTGGTGGGGAAACCTTGTAGAGATCTCGGTGCTAAGGGCTCTTCACGTCAAGGACAATCAGCCTGCCAATGGATGGAAGATCTCTCAGATGCGGTTCTTCATGTTCTGTATGGTAAGTCAACTAGTTCTCATCCCTCCCACCCGTTCGTCTGAATGCTCACTTGATTATTTCTTTTGCTTTCATAGGTCGGCTATGGAATATGTAGGTTGTGAAGTTTCGTCTCTCCGACTCATCGCCCGCTAACAGATTTGATTTCCTTCAGACTTCTTGCTGCCCGACGTATTCTTTCAAACTTTGTCGTTTTTCAAGTAAGAAAACTTTCTTAATTTTCCTCCAGTTGCCAAATCATGTGTCTTATATTAGTTTCTGTCACGATCATGAAGTTGGACGACTTGGATCGCGCCCAACAATGTCAAGCTCGCAATGCTCACAGGAACCGTCAGCGGATTGGGGCTCAACCCGTTCCCTACCCTGGACTGGAACTTCATGTCAATCAACCCCGTCGTCACGCCGCTCTGGTCCATTGTGAGGAACGATTTATTACCTGATTCACATCCTCCACTCATCTGATGCATTTCGTATCTCTCCAGTTGAATCTGTATAGCGGCGCCTTGATTGCTGTCGCGGCTATCAGTGGCATATTCTTCAGTAATGTTGCTTACACCCAATACCTCCCCATCAATACCAATGGTAAGACACCACCCGCTATCAAATTTCTGTAGCTATTCAGTATCAGCTTACAATTTTCGTTGATGTTTCATCGCAGGTATATTTGATCGCTTCGGGTATGTTGCTGAATAACTTGATCCAGGGAAAGTCCATTGACTGATCCGCATTTCGTACCTTCCTGTATCTCGTGAAATCAACCAGAAAACGCTACAACGCCTCACGTATCCTCAACGACGTAGGCGATCTTGACCAAGTGAGTGAATCGTTTCAGTTTCTTCCCGGAAGTCCAGGATTCTCACAGGTTATTCAAGGCGAAATACCAAGCCTATTCTCCTCCCTACATGTCTGCGGCCAGCATCTTAACGTAAGAACCCCCCCTTTTTTTTGGCTGTCTATTCAGACCAACATTCGCTCCAGCTCAAGTGCTTAAACGTGTCGCTTTGTCTAGTTTCACAGCATTCTTTGGCCTCTACACTAGCACCCTCATGCACAGCATCCTTTTCTATCGCAAACATCTCGCCGGCGGCTTCGGTCTTTTTTGGCGTCAAATCGTCATCAAATTGTCAAGCCTCCCGGTCATTTCGCGTCTGACGAATCGGTATAATGTTAAAGCGGCGGATGCCGATAAGCTGCTCTCCGGAAAATACACGCCTGATGTCCATTGTCGCTTGATGAGCGTCTACCCAGAAGGTAGAATCCCCCTTCGATTTCATGTGCTTTTTCCTACTTGAATATCTTACCTTGATAGCCTTTTGATTTGCTCAGTTCCTCAATGGTGGTTCATGATTATCGGCGCTATTGCTACCGGAATGGCAATCTTCATGATAGTATACTAGTGAGCCCATCATTTTCGCAGTTTCTATTGGAATGTGAGACTGATCTTTTTCCCTGTAGTGACACTCAGATGCCAGTTTGGGGACTGGTAAGTCCTATGTCGAGCTATACAGCAGTTGAGAAAGAAAGAAAAGGTTGTTGACCCTATCATTGCTCCTACAGGTTTTTGCTTTCGCTATGGCACTCGCTTTGATTGTTCCCACTGGGATTCGTAAGTGGAAAGCCTCCAGTTCATCACTCTCCAGCAAATCTAATTAATTCATTTGCTCGTCCCCAGTAAGCGCTGTGGCCTCAAGTGGCGCCCCGCTCAACGTAAGATTTCCCGCCCTCAAATGAATTCACTGAGCTTCGAGGTATTGATTCAAAACATGCGTTCCAGGTTATCTCCGAGTTGGTTGGTGGTTACGCCTTAGAGGGCAGGTAAGCTTTTGCGCTACAACGACACACTAAACATACGTGTTTGACTGACTGACCTATCCTTGTATCTAGGCCCCTAGGAAACATGTTGTTTAAGAGTCAGTGAAGACCCCGCGGTAACACTTGAGATTCGACTATTTATCCTGACATTCTTCTTCCCGCAACATAGCATACGGTTACATCACGACTGCCCAAGCGATCAGTTATGCCTCAGATCTCAAGGTACTTTGTCCATTTTTTTAAATTGATTTGTATCCGCCTAAGCATACTAATAACTGATTTTTTTTTTTAATCTCACAGCTCGCTCATTATGTGAAAGTAAGGCCACCCAAACACTTCGTCCTCTAATATCAGTCTAACTCGAGAAACTTCGCGTCTTTCAGATCCCCCCCAGAGCCACTTTCGCAGCTCAAACGGTGGGAACGATTCTTTCGGCTTTCATTTCGGTGGCAGGTTCGTGAAAAAAAAAAAAAAAGAAACCTCCTTCCGTCTCAATGTGTCGGCTGTCTTTATTGATGCCTTCGGGATATCATTCTTCAGTGTTGGACTGGCAGATAGGAAGCTTTCCAGACTTGTGCTCTCCCACCCAGCCTCTGCACTTCACGTGTCCCGGTACGTTTAGACAGACCATGCTCCACTTGTCTCTGTTGTAGCCTAACCAATCCAACTGTCTCAATAGGATACAATACCTTTTTCTCCTCTTCGATTATTTGGGGCGCGGTTGGGCCGGTGAGACTGTTCTCCAAGGACGGAGCGTTGTATAGCTTTTGTTTGTATGGATTTGTGTAAGTTAAGAACGATCGCCATCATGACGTACACGGAATGAAACTGATCCCTTGAATCATCACAGCCTCGGCGCAATCGCTCCCATTATTCCTTGGCTCGCCCTCAAAAGATGGCCACGGTCGGGTTGGAGATTGATCCACACGGTAAGCCATTGTTTTCCTCACTCAAGGTAGGAGAGCAGGAAAAGACTAACCGTGCATCTGCTTTTTATAAAAGCCTGTCATGTTCGCTGGAGCTTTGGGATTTGCGCCGTTGAACCTGGGATATCTGACGTAAGATGCACATCTCTGCTCACACATTAATTTTTTTTCTTTTTGGCATTTGTTCTAATGCTGAAATGAGGTGATCGATTCTTCAGACCGGCGATCCCTCTCGGATTGTTCTTCCAACGCTACCTCAAATTCCGCTACACAGCGTGGTATGGTGCGTGAATTTGTTGCTCTAAAAATGTGTCTAAATGCAAACGGAGTCCGATCGTCTGACCCACCTGTGACCTCTATCCAGAGAAATACGCATTGACGCTCACCGCCGGGTTCGGGGCGGGGGTGGCCCTCTTCGGACTGCTCTACTTCTTTGCCTTCCAATTCAGCGGAAAAGAATGGAAATGGGTGCGTCCAACTCTAACTGATCTCTATCTGTCATCCAACGTTTCGCTGAAATGTCTTTGCGTCGTGCGCTCTCAGGCCGGTAACACTAAGTTCTCCGAGGGATGTGATGGAAGGTCTTGTCGACTGATAGACGTGCCTGAAGGCGGCTTTGGCCCCTCAGCGTGGTCATGATAAGCTACCTACATGTCCCGGGGCTTTAACTCGCTCCATCCTTTGTCGAGCCAAGAGATGTTTCCTTGAACAATACATATACATATATATATATATCTATCAGTGATTCTTAGGACAGGAAATTGGTAACCCAATGTTTTTTTTTTTTTTTGCACAGATTAATTACGTGTAACTTTAATTTTTATTATTATTATTATTATTGTTGTTGTTGGGTGATTATAGCAGGATGAAAAATGTGTCTTGGAAGTTCATGTTTGTGAATCTGTTTGCACATCCTTAGAGAAGGTCTGTTATGTACATGACACAACAGGACCCAGGAAACCCCCTATAGAGGTGGGTAACCAAAATGTATGAATGGATTTTCACCCTACACAACCACTTTGACTGAACATCAGATGTGGTATCTGGATAGTTGCCACATCAGGACATGTACATACTAAATGTGCATCATGTACATGTCTTCTTTAGTGGCTAACCTCAACCAGTGAGTTTTAATAACCGAAAAACTAAAAAAAAAAATGTATGAATTTTTTTTCAGATTTTTTTTTATTTTTAGTTTTTTGCTTCTCAAGGCTCACTGGTGAAGATTTACCACTAAAAAGTTTATGGGCAGGATGCACCTTCAGTATGTACATGTCCTGATGTGGCAACTACCCAGATACCACAAATGATGTTCAGTCAAAGTGGTTGTATACATTTTGACGTTTTGGTTGCCCACCTCTATAGGGGGTTTCCTGGGTCCTGACACAACCCCACTGTCTTGATCTTGTAGATTACGTTCTTTTTTTTTCTTGTTTAGATCTTTCCATGTTTTCATTTCTTCATACTTTATATCCAATGCAAATCTTGTCAATCTGTTGCCTGTTTATAACTCATCAGTCCTAATAACCCACTCTAGACACAACCACATCTTCCCATCCCATGAAGGTTGATCAAACATTTGAATGCGTGTTTTGTCTCTCGCATATCTCGCAAAACTTCTGACTGTTTTTCTTTTCTTTTGATCCGGAAAACAAACCTACAGACTGGGATTGATGTATGCTGCATGTATTGCACAGCCTGGGATGATCATCACCACATCAACGCTGCCACAGATACGGTATCTGCCCGTATCTGCCATGTATCACTATGTATCTGAGCCCCAATAAAAAAAAACTATCTGACCAATCTGCTTTTATTTGCAAGGAGATTCAACAAATTTGGTTTTTGGCCATGCAGCTTTGCAGAATTCTCCATGATACACACAGTGTATCGTATCTGTGGCAGCGTTGATCACATCTATTACTATTTTGTTCCTGGAGCGAAGGTTGCCCCATGGAAAATGGATGAGACAGTCCTTGTTTATGTAACCATTGCAATAGCTGTTGCAGTGGAGTTTATCATTGATCTCAGAAGCACAACCTATATGATCTATGCAGGCCCAGGGACATCAAATCATACCCCCACATGGTCCACCCTGGGGTTTGAGTTTCCAGCTCCACTTGAGATGATGCTCTATAGCTTCACAAACCTGCACAACTATCTCAAAAGAATGGATGTGACCAAAAGGGAAATAAGAATAACAGCTCAAAAGGTTGCATAATTTCCTGATGAGTTATCAATTCTATTTTGAGCATCTCTAACTGTTATTTTTCTTTCCCCAGAAAGCTGAGAAAGCATAATGGATTGATAAGGATATTTTTTTTGACTGTGTGGGAGTGCTAAATAGTCATCAGATGGATTTGTTGTAATACTTTTGATTAGATCAGAAGATTTTGTCTTGATAGCCAACATTCTGATTCTGAACTTGCATCAAGTCCTGCTGTTGGCTGAATTAGGAAGCCTCCTTTGGGTAGCAATCAGCTGATCCTCTGATTAAAAGACTCACAATTCACATTATTGAACAAGTGAAAAGAAAGGCTGTGTACTGTGGGACTCAAACCCACAACCTCGGCATTCATGAGTGATGCTCTGACCATTGAGCTAAGTACGCATTGCTGATTTTGAATACATTGGTGATGTATGCTGGTAAAATGTGATGATGATGTGGATCATGAAGAATTGCCTCCAATTCTGATTAGAAGTCTCACATGGATGTGTTGTTTCCAACACCCAACATTTTCTAACCAGATAAGATTATCTCAAAAAAAAATGGCAGCTCAGCTGTTAGCTTATCTGATAGATGCTGCTAGACAACCAAGCCTATATATGTCAAAATAAAACACCAAGAGATGGAAAGTGAATCAACGGAAAGTTCAGGATGACTCTACCAGTTAATTTTCCAGTTCAGATCTGTTTCAGCCCCTTGAGCACACTAGGGGTCGTTGTAGTAGTGTTTCAGTAGAATTGAAACTGGAGTGGCGCAGTGATAAATACTGCCTGTCATCAAGTGAGCATTCAACTTTCCTGGTGAGAGAATTGAACCTGTGAAATACTCAGGTTACAATACAAATTGGCAGATACTTTTGACATCATTGGTTTCCTTCTGGCCAACAAGGTACATCTATGTACCTCATTGACCAGAAGGTTTTCCTTCTGGCCAACAAGGTACATGTTCCGGCCAACAAGGCACATGTACCTTGTTGACTGGAAGGAAACCCTTCCAGTCAATCATCAGCCACCCCCTCCAACCGCCCTTTCTTGAAGGGGTGGGTGTCCAGAAATACCCACTTGGATACCCGCCAGCGGATGCGGATGGCGGTCTCCCTGGAAAAAGCAGCCGGATATCCAGATGCGCCGGGGCCATCTCTAGCAAAATGTAGCAGAATTTTGCTAAGCTTTAGCATAGCATAGCGGAAATGTGCCACGTTGTGGTAAATAATACTGTGTTTCTATGCAGAAAATATAAAAATTTCTTATTATCTCTTTAGTCATTCAAGATATGGAAAAAATGAAATCAAAACTGGAATCCTCAGGTAAAATAAACCCTAGTCACCCACCACAACCATACCTTTATCTCTTATAGTTTAGAAGTTACACGTATTTCAACCTGTCACGGGATATTTCTTGAATTCTTCACTCTAGCCATAGTCATTATGAATACAGGATAAATATTGAATGCTGAATACCCTGTAGTAAATTGAATACCTTTGCGTCATTTTGAACCCCTTTGTATTAGTGATATTGCATGTATGCATCTGTTGAGTTTTTCACTCCTTGGTCTACTCCTTCCCAAAAAAAAACAATCTTTTCCCCTTTATTGTTACTCTCTTTTATTTCTTTAATCATCTTAAAATAGACTGAATTATAGTTTTTCATAGCTGGTTTTTTGTTGAATCTTATGCATCTTAGCAGTCTAATTAGAACTCACAATAGCAATTTATCAACAACTCTTGTCTAATGATTGGCTTCTTTCTTTTTCTATTTTCATTATTTGATTCTTAAAAGCTAATTATTTAGAATTAATGCCTCTAAATATTTGTGGTAGAAATTTTGATTTTTCTTGATTAACTTTTCTTGTCTGACTAAAAGAGACTGAGAAGTCCGGCTAAGACTGTTTCTTCCAAGACTTCAATTTATTCTATCTCTTAGTTTTTATTCAATTAGCCTCAACCACAGTTTGAAACACTTGTATTTAGCCTATTTAAACCTAGCTAGATACTTGTGAATAAAAATCATTGGTTCTTACACTCATTTTCCACAAGCCTTTCCCAAAAAAGAGTTCTTCCCTTTTTTTGGCCCTCATCCTCTTACGCGCCTGAGTCATAAATTTCAACAGCATCCCTTTGATCATACATATGCCTCCCTTTATTGATTCATATGCATCCCTTTGTAGTAGTATCTCACAGCCTGTACCCTGGGGCCAAAATCCCTCACATTTGTATATATAAGGAGGCCTCTGCCTGCCAGTTGTTCCCTCCATCATCCCACAAGTGGACCAGATCATCTCAACCACCCTTATAAATAAATCCATCTTATATATTATTTCATAACTACAAGTCGTAGCCACATTAAAATTACAGAATTATATACATTGAAATACAGATTTAACACTTTCATCATCATCATGAACCAAAAGTGCCCTAAACCATATTCATCAACAACAACTTCATCAATATAACCAACATTCAATAACATATTTATACCCTCACACATACCAATTGGCAGCCTCATCTCAAACTTATACCTATCACTATATATAAAATTGCCAAGCTAAGCTTGGTGGTCTTGTTATTCTGATAGTATAGAAGGGCAGAGCTTGCAACTCCAACTTACCCTTCTCCATTCAGAAAAAGGGTTTTCATAGCCAATTTTGAGTCTTACAACATCCACGCTAACACTATGCTTTCAGGACCCTAAAAAGTGCCAATGCTCTGGTTTAGAGATCGTTTGTTCGGACCTAGGTACCTGTTTATACCTAGGTACCTGTTCATTTTTTCAAGAAAATAGATACCATGTACCGCACCAGACACCTCCCGGGGGGTACCCAAGGTACCTGTTTGCAGGTACCTTCAAGGTACCCCCCCTCTCTTTTTCACCTAGTTTCACTCCCAGGAGTCCCAAGTCACTTTATTATTATTATTATTATTTCTTCATATTTATTGTAAAATATCACTCACAAGTCACTTTTTTGGCATTTTTGAATATCTGTTGTAATATATCTACATCTAATTGGAAGAATCTTACTTTTCTATTTTTTTCATATTTATTGTAAAACATCAGTCCCAAGTCATTTTTTTCATTTGTTCATATTTAATAATTAATTGCAGAGTTTAAACTATCTACAACTTATAACTAATTGGAAGAATCTTCATTGTCATCCAAAACCATCACCTTCCTTTCTGATGTTTTGTTAGACTTCTTGTTATCCTTGAGTCCCTCTTTCCATGCAGCCAAGGTACCTTCTTGGAGTAGAAGGCCACCATCATTTTGATTTTTGTTAGGGAAGTGAGGGGGTACCTGTAGAGGTACCTAGGTACCTGTTCAAATTTTCACAAAAATAGGTACCAAGTACCACACCTGGCACCTCCTGGCGGGTGTGGGGCGGGTGTGAGGGGTACCCCCCAGGAGGTACCAGGTACCTGCAAAAAGTACGGACGAACGATCTCTACTCTGGTCAGCAGTATTTTGTCCCTGTAGCGGCTGTTAGCAGCCCATACCAAAGTGTAGTGTAGCAAAAAACCACTAACTTTTCACTAACACTACCCAATTTTGGCGTGCAAAAAAACGCTCTACGCTAACGCTTTTTGCCCACAAAGCAGCAGCCCAGCATTGTTTGAGTTTTCAAAACGTTACACAACAACTGACATGTACATGGATATAGCACTAGAAAAGGTGTTGAATTGCATGATCCACAGGCGCAATAACATCACATCCCGCCAGGCAATTTTATTGCGCCTGTGGATCATGTGATCTGACACCATTCACCTTGAATGAAAAGTATTGGGTCGCATTTTCCCCAGGCGCAATAGCATCACACCCCACCAACCAATGTTATTGCATCTGGGGAAAATGCAACCCAATACCTTTTCTAGTGTAGCTTACACATTGTAGGGGTGAAGAAAACCTGGTGAAATGTGGATTTCAATTCCCTACATATCTCACTCTACACTTTCACTTATGTTTTCATTCTATTTTAAAATACACCAATACAGCCTATTTAGATGCAAGTGTGCTCTTTGTACTGTAATTGAGGCATTTATTTTGTTATTATGTGATGTGGATGTGAAATTCTGTTTGGTAGTGTATTGTAACAGATAGCCAGTGCCATCTAGTATGTACAGTGGATTAGATCATCCAAATTGATGACTTTAGTGGATTACTGATGCTTCTTTTCAAGACACAATTCTTAGTCTGTTGAAGTCAATTGTAGAACATCTCAACAATACACACTAGATATAGATTCTGGTTTTGTGGCATAAATTAGCAAAAAATCAACATGTAGGATTCATCTTGATAAATAATTAAACAGCTTTTGAGAAGAGAAATAACCTTCCTTAACAAATCTCATCTTCAGGATTTTGATCATTGCATCCCAATACACAGTTTCATCTTTAAAATTTTGAATGAAACTGCAACTTTTTTGTGTGTTATACCAGTGAAAAATCAGATAAAGGCATAAATAGATGGTTATAGAGGATGAATTTGAATCACTAAAGAAATTCATCAAAAGAATCTGTACCTTAGAAAAATCAGAAGGACCAAGAGGATTTTGGTTAAAATCAGCTCTTTTTGTCAATGAGAAATTTCCAAATATGGGTAATTCATCATTTCCTTTTGAAATCAAGAGACCATGAATCCATTCAAATAATTGTTGCTTTTTCAGGTCTTTCTTTTCTGTTAATTTCTGAGAGTCAATCTGATCTTCCAAGCATAGATGACATGCCTTCAAGTTGATTATCAATGATTTAAGCTTCCAATAAATTTGTTCTCTTTTGGGCCACCTTCCTTGACTCAAGATTATCCAAATGAATCCCATGACTGGAACTTGATTTGAAACATTCCCAGATGTGTGTATCACTAAAGGAAGTCCATTGACTTTTGTTTTTCTGTGATTGATGTTTCTTTGACTTGGGATTGAAATCTGATCAAAGTTTTCCAAAATAGCTTTTTCTTCTGGGTCCAAGATTAATTTCCACTTCAGATTAAAACGTGAGGGTTTCAATTCTTCTGGAAACTCTTCAAAGGAAATAGATTTTGAAATTCCCAAGTCTTCAATATGGTAATCAAAACTCTCAACTTCTGGATGTATTTTTAAGTTTGAAGCTATAGATTTGAAAGTCAATCTTTGCAAAAATACATTCAAATCATAATTTGAGCCATATCCCATGAGAAAATTCAAAATTTTGGGTTGGAAAGTATTGTAGTAGATTTGAATTATAAGCTGTGATGCCTTGAGTGCTTCATTTGAACACATGTTCTCTGATAGATAATCAAGCAATACTAACTGGCATGGTTCATAGTTTACCTCATTATGTGTTTTTTGAAAAGTGCCATGAAGAGGAAATCTATCATTTCCAGGTTCAAAAGCCTCCTCAAAGAGCCAGTTTATTAGTGAATGATTAGATATGGATTCATTTTGATAATTTCTATTACCGTTTTCCAGATGTACTAAGACTGAGGTATTGATAAAGAGGAGCCATTGGATCAATCTATTGAGCTTTCTGAGAATTTCTCTGCTTCCTTGATTCTTGTTTATATGGGGAAATTTATCATCAAAACTAGACTTTCTCAGAACTCTTACTAGATATAGATTTTCTGTTTGAATTTCAGTTATTTTTACTGGAAATCCTTCATAAAAATAGATTTTAGGTGATATTCCACTTTTATTCCTATCTATCCGCTCAATTTTCTCATTGAATTGGTCAGTAAATTCACCCAAAAGTACATCACTCATGAAAAACTTTGGTATATTTTTTATCTCAAACCATGCTTCAACCTTTCCTAGAATATTTAATGTTTTCTTTGGATTTAATTCATCAGGATGGTTTCCTTCATTTCCCTCTTTGTCAAGCTGAGGAGTGTTTGAAAAACTTAAAATATGATCAATGTGATCCACAATCTTCTTCCAATCAAGTGATATTTCAGGAAGCTTTTCAGCGCTTGAGGCTGAGGGCTCAACTCCAGAAAATTCCTGACTTAATTTTCCTGTACCGGAAATGGTGAATTGTTTTAGTGGCAAGCAAGATTCATTTCTCAAAGGGGACTAGTTTTTGTATTTCTCACTCACTTTTATTCTTTTTATGATCTTCACTTTGGGAAGTGCACTGGATGTGATGACTGGTATGTATTTCTTCATCCATCAATTGCTGTTCTGGTAGATCTGATTGCTCCTGCAATTGTTCCATCAACTGCGGCAAGTTCATCTTATCGAGGTCTCCCAATACTGATGATGGTTCAAATAGCCAATAATTATGGGATCCATTGTTTGTTCCGCCCAAGCCAGTTTGTTCTGTACACCTAAAAGCTGGTTCTGGTGATACATAGTTTGAACTTTCTCCTTCATTTCCATGGCCTTTGAAATTGGAATCAACATGCAGTAGTGATGATACAAGAGGAATGTGTGATGTGGCAGTTGTAGCGAGTTGAAATTGGTCTTCGTTCACTTCGTTGTTTTGTGGCTCTGTTCCAAAAATTCCAAAAAACACAACAATTATGTTAGACCATTCAAGCAAGAAACACCCTACTAAGCTCAAGCTCAATCAATGGCCTTTCTCACCTTCAATCCCGTGTTTGTTAGACGAGGTACCTGTACATGAAAGACGGTTTATGAATATATTATGAAGAGGGGTACCACCACCCGGATATGAAAGATGTGTTTCAAAACCTGGATGTGAACGTATGAGCTTCTTTCTTTTCCATCCATTAGGTTCGAAATTCATTCCCATATTCTCTGCGTTTGGAGAAGTCAACACCAGCAGTGTCAGTAGCCACCCATTATGAACTGTAGCAGAATTTATCTCACTTTGGTGGGGATCACACCAAGCGAGATCCGTTCGATGAGATCTCTCGTCTGGGAAGTTCTCTTGATAGCTGTCTGCTTGAAAGTTCCGAGAGGGTTTTTGCCCGATCAAAATTTCACGCTTAAGCACCACGTCAATGTCGTTTTGACTGGAATCCAGATCAGACATGACCATAGGATGGGCCAAAGTAACTCTCCAAACCCAGTGCCAGAGAGCTAATTGAGCAACTAGGCCGAAGTTCAAAAGCATTTATTCTATGTAAATGGTTTTGCGATGAGGTACTATATATACACTCACTGTCTCAATTGATGAGATGTGTTTCTTGCACCCAGGTCTTGCCGCCATGTGAAGCGAGCCGAGCTCCCTCTAAAACATTTTCGCGTGGCGAGCTCCCCTCAGGGTCTCTGTTTCACTTCGTGGTCTCAGCTGGTCTGATTGGCGAACCGGTAGTAAGCGCTAAACGATAGCCCACAAGGAGTGGCTGGCGGCAAGGCAAGAATCACGGCAACTCCCGATTACATAGTATTGTGGATCAAGCTCAAATCCCTGCGTAATGTTTGACTCTAGGTTCGAACTCGTTCGGAAATTTTGCACCAATCAGCCTGCAACGCGTAACAAGAGTTATGACTCGACATCATTTTCATTTGCTTGTTGGGTTTTCTTTTTTGTGCTTCAAGCCCCTTATTACTATTATTATTTTCCACTCAATGCCTTCCAAACGCAATGTGCTAATATCTTTTTGAGGGCAAGAGGGCCCCAACGGTTCAATCAAGGTTGAATCCATTCTCAAGACAAAATGATCTTTAGGGATAGGCGAGATGGACGATTTTCCTTGGCCGTGGATCCTACAGGCCAAATGCTAATCAAATGTTTCAGTGATGAGGGGATATGCCGACTCTGGATGAGCATTACCCGTACAGTCGAATCTCCACCTGAACCAATTGTCTTTGCTAGAAAGGTTGGAACCCGATCCTTACGTTTTTGTTTTGAGAGATCGAATACTTATGTTTTTGAGAATTTCTGCGCAAGGTTCGGCTTCGACACTACGTCATAAAAGTCACAAAACTTGAGGCCATCGCCCTGATCACAACAGAATACAACCTAATCCAACCTTATCCAGCCCACCCGGTGGTTGGTCAAAACAGCAAAAACGTATGCATAAACCTTCTGCAAAGCATCTTCTAGGGTTGTGTGAGGATGATGCTTCAAGGGTGGGCTTCATTTGTATGTGTCAACATTTCAAAATTTCCAAATCACCCATTAGCACCCATTGCAGCCAGTTAGAGCTTACATATCTGGTGCTCAACCTGAGACCTATCCCTGACAGCAACCCCCAATCCTAACCAAGTGAAAAGGCTAATCATTGGATGTGAAGCTTCAACTTAAAAACAAATCTTCAAAAAAAATTCAGGTTGTTTTGGGGGGATGTGGGGCAAAATTTATCCTTCAAGCAGGGTTTTCATGCAGATCTTGTAGAAGCTTTACGGGGAGCTGGTCAGGTGACAACCAGGCCATCTGTGGCAAGTCTAGGTATCTCCCTCCTGATGTCAAAGTGGGCACCAGTATAGTAACATATCACTTTTTCTGAGTGATCTGTTTCATTGGCCCACAACATCACTACTTCTCAACTGAATATGGGAACAAATTCATTAGATTATATCAGTGCCCCTAAAATATTTTTAGTGATGATTAGAGTTGAAATCTAGTTGTCAAACCTAAATGGTTATTTGAATCACTACAAAAAGTGTTCCATTGCATTCTGCAAATGCGAGGTAGCATTGCATGTCACATGTGATGTCACCTCACATTTTCAAAATACGATGGAATTTACAGTGCCAAAAATTGGATTACCTTTTGCAAATCCGAGGTGACATTGCATGTGACGAGCAATGTTACCTTGCATTCACAGAATGTGTTGCAACACTTTTTGTAGTGAATTAACAGTGGGCCAATACAGATACAGCTATGGCTGTATTATTGTAAATTAATGTATTTTCACTAATTTTACGTGTATTGTATATTGATAAAGGCCTGCACTAAAATGTAAATAACACCAGATGGGGGAAACTCTTAATTATTGGTATTGTATTACTATGGGGGATGATCACAAGACACAATACCAATAACAAATTTTGGCCCAGAAAATGGCCAATCCCGGCCAATTTTTGGGGTTTGGGGTCTTATTGGCATAATACACACAATATTGTACTGTATCAGTCTGTATCAAAGCAGTCCATTATGTAAAATAGCTAGGGGAAAAATCACTTTATTTTATTGTATCACATCCAAAGTTTTTTTGTGATACAAAATAACACATTTTCACATGAATGTCAGCCAATATGTTACAAAACATTGACCAAATATAGTAATGTGATGTATTGGCCCACCAATGTTTAAATGGTCAAGTCTTATATGGGCTCCTATTTCTATCTTTCTTTATTCAGTTTTGATTTCTCTCTTTCAACTCTCCACTGGCAAAATCAGGTGTGCTCACCTCTTTGTCTCATCAATCATCCTATGTTGTAGTGTACTGACACTTGTGAGTCTTAATAAAGATTCTGTGCACCTGATGAACCAGTTGACCAATCTGGTCAATCAAGTCCAAAGGTGATCACACTGTCACACTGGGGCTGCATGTGAAACCCTCACCACTCCCAGGTTTGGCAAAACAAAACAAAATTAGATTATGTAAGCATCAAAATCTGAAACCACTTTTCATTCCTTAGAGCCTCTGCATGAGGGGTGGCACTCCACACTTGGGTACCCATGGCAAGTTTGAGTGCTTTCCTTAAACTTCATAGACAAAGTGGATACCTGCAGGCAAGTAACTTCTGGCCAACAGTTAAAAACAAGTACCTCTCAAAGGATGTTTCAGGCTTCAGCCATAATTGATGGCGAGGTACCTATGGCAGGTGTGGGTACCTGCCAATGGGTGCCAGGTAAGGGCCAATGGGTGCCAGGTTAGGGCCAATGGGTTCCAGGTAAGGGCCAATGGGTACTTAAGACAAGACCCTGGCAAGCCCCCCAATAGGTGTTGAAAAAGGTAAATTGGCAAAAATCCCAAAATCCTACTCTTGTAGAAGCTTCAAAAAGGTATGATTTGAATTATCACTTGAGAACAAAAAAAAACTCTCAATGAAATTGTGTATTTTAGGTAGGTAAAGCTAGTCAAAGCCACCAAAAGCCTTGAAATTTAGCCCCCAAAGCCAGGATGTTGTTAATAGGCAACCCCGTATTTTTGAGGTATTTTGGCCCAAGCATACTCTTGAATATTGAATTTCCATTTTTCTTGTCATTTCTTCTTTGGTCTGTGCTTTCTCACCTTTCATTCACATGTCACAGATGTAGATTCATACCATCTGATGGTGTGTAAGGATTCCCTCCTCATCCCTTTCACAACCATCATCCCAGGTATGTGGGTTTTCCTCTGTTTCAATTTCTCTCTTCCTGTTTTTCATATTGTCTGATCTTATCTTGAGCTAATAAATTATCCTATTCACAACCATCATCCGAGTTCATTGAATGAATGACTCCAAATCTGTTCCTTATAAAGCTACTTTAATCCAATCTAATCCAAACCAGTGTGATTGGGAGGATTAGATCAGTTGGCTAATCCTGCCCAATATGTGCACTGATGTGGATGCTCTTACAGGCTCCCCACTCTTCTAGCTCAGTAGAGAGCCCAGAACAAATTTATTACTGCTGAGATAGGCAAGTCTCTCATTTTCATTTTCTTTCTCATTTTCTTCTATGTATTGTTTTCATCTTTGATTCAAGACCCAGGCAACCCCTATATAGGTGCCTAACCAAAATGTAGGGATTTCTGGCCAAAAATTCAAAATGATACACACCAAAAATGTATGAATGGCCTTTTTATCCTCCTAGGGTGCTAACCTAGATTAATGTATGAAGGATGTACAATTATCAAAATTTTGCCAAACTTTCCTTTTGTTTTTTGTTTTTTGCTTTTTCCTGTAGGAATGGAGGGGATACAACTTGTTAAACACCTCAAAAAGGTGAAAATTGGCAGCAAAAAAAGTTAAAAGGCAAGTTTGAGGTTGTTTGACAATCTGGAGGATTGGAATTTATAGAGTGCTCTGCACACAAACACCCCCCCCCCCCCCCTCAGCAGGAGGGTAGGCACGAAATGTGTATGAATGGCTTCCGGAATTTTGGCAAAATCTCAGGTTTTTGGTTAGGCACGTCTATAGGGGGTTGCCTGGCTCGTTTTGATTCACATTGTACTGACAAGAGAACCTGGACCAAAGTTTATTCTATGTACTGAGTCTGAACCACATAGATTATTGCAATCCATTTTGTTTGCTCCAGACAATTCTGTTGTATTTATCAGTGAAGAATCAAATGAAGACACCCAGAGTGGGTGTTGTTGATATCTGCTGGCCCAGTTTATCAGCAGGTGGATAGATTCCGAGTGACATGTTTGTGACATACCAGCTGAACAGCCTGCCTGGGGAGATGTTCAAGGATGGTTCACGAGCCAGTCACAGGGGGTGTCCCATCCCCCCACTCCAGCCTCCAAACTGAAACGAACATCATCATCCTGAGAAAAAAAAAACCAAGCACAAGGACAGGGTGAGTGTGTTCTGTTGACCATTTGTTGATGCGAAGACATAGATACTGATCAGAGCTTCTATCTTGCAGGAATCCAAACTACTCTGCTCGGAATCACTGGGTCGTTCATATCTCTTATACGTATGCTGTAGGGAAAGTCTGTTGTCTTGGGTGAGTCGCCTTCTCTTCTTGGCTCGTCCAAGAGATATCTTGTTTGAAGTTTTGTTGTTGACCAAATACCCACTCAGATCTCTCCCAGGGTACATGTTGAATACATTGGACGTGCCTCGAAGATGTCAACCTACAGGACAGCTACAACTTCATACGGCTCGATTAAAGAACCACAAGTATCAATCTGGACGGCCTTTCAAGATTTGGTGTATCAATCTCTGCCACCAGCGCTCGCCAATCAACTCTCTCGATTCCCACTCTTGACGACCTTCATAATCATCATCTTGACCTATGCATGCTGTTCGACTTGTCTCAAGCTCCAGAGAAACACATCCCTACCATTCAGGCTGATCAGTAGAGCCTACGGCTTATATGAACTCCTCATCAACACAGTGCCCTTCAGTTCACTCGGCTTCTCCACTTTCTCAGCCAGACCACTCTCAAGAAACCAGGATCCGATTCACACCAATCTAAATTACCATCTATCAGTTCGTCTCCAACCTATGTAACACTGAACTATTACAGTCAAGTTCGCTGATTACCTTCTTTCAATCCGACTTGATTCCTTCCAGAGCCGCTCTTCGCCTTCAATCCTCCGACGCTCGAACCAGCTCAATCCACATCCTCTGAGCCACGAAGATTCCTCAAAAGTTTATTATCCTGGTCTCATCAATTCCTCATCCAACTCATGCTTCATCAATGCGGTCCTACAATCACTAGCATCGATGCCCCACATCATACAATATCTCGATCTGATCCAATCCTACGGTCTCCCCTCCACACCGCTTGCCAACGCACTCGGAGGGATGTTACTTGCGCTCAATACCCCAAGAGATCACCCGGTTGTCCTCAAGACCTTTTCGGTTGCTCAGGCCCTACTCGATCATCCTAACGCCAGACGATCGATGCTATTCAACTCAGAACAACAAGATGCTCAAGAATTCCTAGTCACCATGATTGACGCCTTAGAGGCAGAAGCTAAACTCTTGGCCGATCAATTGCTCCTCGAATACCAATCCACTCAATCGAACGGACTCGAGAGAGACCAGTTTTGGATCCAGGCTCGTGAGATCTGTAGGAGCCCCTTCAGAGCACTCATGGCTCATCGAATTGCGTGCGGCACTTGCGGCTTCACGTCCGTTATTCGCCATTCTTTTGCCGACCATTTCTCGTTAAATGTCCCCCCAAAGGTATTCAGATTCTATGCTATTTTCCATCACAGCTACCCCCTTTCCCAGATCTTTTATATGATTCTCCTTGATCCAATCTCAATCTTTCTTAATCTTTGATTGTATCTATTTATTTGGCAAAGCTTAGACGACATGCCGCCTCGAATCATGTCTCCAAGAATACACGAAGCTGGAAGTACTAGACGACTACATCTGTCGGAAATGTTCACTAATCAAAACCTGCGACAAGTTGAATCTGCAACTCGACGAAATCCAACACCAACACCAACAACCGACGAAATTGACTAATAACAAGAAGAAACAAGTCCAGTTGATTAAGAAGAAGTTGGCGATCTTGAAGTCGGCGATTGAGGAGGACCCCGAGCGAGAGTTGGTCCCTCAAATCTCCATCGAAAGGGTCGCTAGCTTGACGACAACCAAACAAACCATGTTCGCCCGAGTAAGTGATTATTCTTGAAGTTGAAGACGAGACCTACCCGGATAATTGACGACCGCTCATGTTTTTTCTTGTTTGGAAATTCAAATTTCAATTTGATGAAACAAAAAAAAGCCCCCAGATTCGCTGACATTTCACATCTCACGATCGACGGCCTATGCGCGAGGAGTATCGTTCAAGAACCATTGTCAAGTGACGTACCCGGAAGAGCTGATCCTCGATCCGTACTGCACGAGCTTCGAATTATCCGGAGACGCGACCCAGCCGCTGTCGCGGAACCGACAAACGACGGACTATCGATACCGCCTCTTGTCTGTAGTCGTCCACTTTGGAACGCATTCGTTTGGCCATTATATCACCTATCGAAGAGCTCCCTTGTCTTCATCATCATCCAATCCAAGCTCTCCTACCCAGGATTCCAAATCAGGATCCCAGAGGGATGATGATGATGGCCAACTGGATAGTCGCCATCTCCATCATCGCCCCATCCACAGTCGTCAAAGACACACCTGGTATCGCATCTCCGACGAAAATGTTCAGCTCGCTTCAATCGATGACGCCCTGCGATCGAATCCGTTCTTGTTGATGTACGAACGCGTCTTCGATCATCATCCCAGCCATCCCCCGCCACTTGTCGAGCCTCCAAACCAGCACCTTCTACTCAATCCCGATCACGTCCTCGACCAACCTACTCCTAAGAATCTCGCCAATCTGTCTCCAAATCATCCCCTTACACTGTCCCCTAGAGAACTCTCTTGGTTTCAGATACATCATTAAAAAACCGTCTCAGGCTTGTTTGTTTTTTTGGGGGGGTTTCTCTTGACTCTTGATCATTCCCACTTACACTTCTCAAAAAAAAAAAAAAACTATCATTTGTTTGTGTTTGTGTGGACGTGGATGTGGACGTATGTGAGTGGCTCATGTGAGGATGAAATATGTGACATGGATCTTTATGGAGAGAAGCCTCAAGATCCACATCTGTTTTTTTGGGCGGGCCAGGTGCACATAATGAAATCAGCAGTACATATCCAACTGCTTACATAACCATATACACATAGTTTTGGTGCCCAAGTAATTCCGATATCTCGACTTTGCGTTCATCCTACGTCATGAGAACCTCAATAAAAAACTACTTTGCTACTCATTTCCGAGTGTTCTTGTTTTATTCGATGCAATCCTACACTTGTATTTATGACGACACGACTGGCCAATGGAGCCTGAATCAATACTGCTGCAATGTTTTGACAAGGCGGTTTTGTTTCTCCAACATGAAATAGATTCTCAAAAAAAACCCATCTGATGGTGTTCTTCTTCTTGTCTTCCATCATCTTGTGTGTCTCATCAAACCCCACAATACAGATCTCGGAAACATGAAAGAAAGAAACGATTCAAATCTGATTTTTGTGTTAAAAAAAGGGAGAAAAAAGGAGGGAGAAGAAGAGAGAGGGAGGGAGGTAAGGAAGAAAGAGAACAAACAGAATGAATGGAAGAATGAAAGGGAGTGGGGAATACAATATTTAATGAAGTAAGAGTCAGATTGATATAAGAACAACAACAAAAGATATGAAAGGAAGAAGAGAATATGATACGGAGGCAGAGAAAAAGCGAGGGAAGCAACGAGGAGACAAACAAGCAAGATCTTTTTTTTTGGGGGGGGGGGTGTTTGGGTCAGGTGCAGGAAGAAGATGAAGTGAGCAGCAACAAAAAAACAAAGCAATAATGGACTGATGAGGCCTCAGGAAGATAACAAAAGAAGAAGGGAGATAATACACTCGCAATTATCATTTAGAAAACAACGGCCTTTTTTCTCGGAGGAGGGGGGGGGGGGATTTTATTGGAAGATGGCACGAGCAGATCCTAGAGTAGTTTTCACCAGAGTATGCCCCAATTTAGTTTTTTCCGCGCGAGTTTTGCTGTCATCTTTGCCCCACCAAATCACTACACAGACAAAAAAAAATACCAATCAATCAATAAATAAAAAAAAATGAAACTTTCCTGGAGTGAAATAGAAGAAGAAGACGAACGGCCAGAGATATGGCGAAATCCGAGCTCGTCCCGATTACTGATGATCAGCTTTTGTCGATCTCTAGCTGAGCCTGAAGGGTCATTCTGACTTAAAGGGCCTTTGACATCCGCCGATCCCCAAGTGGTTTCAACCTCGAACTCTCCCTAAACAACAGCCAACCACGACAGCAAAAAGAAAGAAAGAGTAAGTCCAAGATTTGAGATGGTTCCTGTACTTGTGATCAGGACGAGGGGGTCTAGAACACTGACTTCGTATGCTGGAGCATGTTCAACATGTGCTCGACCATTAGTCGATTTCACGTAGCTGAAGAGCTTCAGATCGATGGGATGTTCGACGTAGGTGACAGTGACTGCACCATTGATGGTAGCAATATCTACGCCGACTGAGGGCAGAAGATTGGTGAAGGATGAGTTGTTCGGAAGGGCAAGCGCGACCTGTGTTGTAGGAGAGAACAAGTCAATGACAGATATCGGGTGAGACCTTGAATTCAGTCTTACGTTGGCGACGATGGCACCATTGGTGGTGGCCAAATTCAATGCCTTGCTAGTCTTGAATGAGCCTTCGATGTGTCCGTTGTTCGTCCGGATCGTGATCGATTCACCCACGAGCGCGTCGATCCTCACCGATGCGACCGTGGTGGTGATGTCTACTTCAGCCACCTCAAACCCGCCCAGGTCGGTGCCGGTGAGCGCAAAGAGATCCGCTTGAATTGAGAGCTTCTCAAGCTTCCCTACAGACTTTGGCAGATTGACCTGGATATTGAATTCGAGGTCTGAGTCCGGATAAGGTCCAACTTCCGGAGTAGGCGTCTGACCAAGACATACTATTAGCGAAGGTCTATCATAAAAAATTGAAAGACGATGGTGTTAAGAGAAGAAAGGACATGAGAAAACCGCGTACATAAATTCCTAAGCCAACATTCTGCCGACCCCTAGACAGAGCCGGACTATCACTGACATGACAGACATTCATCAGATCGATCAAGGCCTCATCATTAGTCAAGGCGGCGAGTTGGATCTGGATCTCATGGGAGTCAGTGGAGCCGATAGAGATGCGACCTTTGGCGAAGCTACCGAGTCCATGGATGAAGAAGCTGTCACGATCGCTGAGGGGGATTGAGATGGTGGCTCTGGACTTCAGGGTCTCGCCGGGCATCCTCGACTGGCCCATGATCGATTGCGGCGTGTCGAATTTCGCACACCAAACCGCCCGGCCATCCGATCGAGGTACCGAGGGTTTCGCTCCATAGTCTACCTAAATTTCCAAACCATTAGACGCCGCGTAACAAGTCAGTTGATCGGTCTCATTCTTGCGCGTGGGGGTTGCACGGTAGGTTAAGACTTACTCGATTACTGCCTTGACTCCAACCGGCTCGATGTAAACCAGCCCAACCAATGACCAAGCCAATGACTATCCATAATCCAATCCCGACCAGAAGAGCTTTTAGGAAACTAAAAAAATTGGGGGAGAAGTCAGGGGGAATTGATCTCTTCTATATTAATAGCAATAAATAAGTACCGTGAGCGAGCTCTACCATCGGCTGCATGTTTGGCCTGGCGAGTGAAGGGGTCATTGACGGCGGGATAGATATTTGGGTTGAAGCTTGGCCTAAAAGGAGAAAATATGATCTTGTTATTACAATACTGATTGAATTCGGCTTGAGTTCAAGTGAGCTCTTACCCAAATGAAATCTGGCCAGATAAGCCTGATCTCGTCGATCGACCTGATAAGGCCCTGCGGTGATGCCTGACTGTGCGTGGTCTGTCGGAGGTGGCTCCAGAGGTCGAGGCTTGAGCTGTTGGAAGGAGCAACAATAGATATGAGTCTCCTATGTATATGAGTTTGATAAGCAATGTGGGGACTGACGCAGTAGTGGTTCGGTCTCGGTTGATTTCTTGGGATCGATATCTTCTTGGGGTGGTTGTGGGTTGTCTGACATGATGTGTGTATGTTCTGGTTGAGGTTGCTTCTTGAGTTTTCGGTTGATGGATGTTATTGTTGAGGATGGGAAAGAAGGAGGAGGAGGAGGAGGAGCGGATGAGAAGAAACCGATTCTTAATAGGAGTTGCTTGTTGACCATCCCACCTGTCACAGATCTCACCTGGCAGCGGAGAGGGATGTCACAGAGTCTCGCCGAACTTGGATCGATCTCCCAGCCAAAAAAAGATACTTGGTTAATCGACTCCCAAAAGTTGGAGAGTCGACTCCCAAACCCCCAAAACCCCCGAAATTCCCCCGTATCCCCCGAGTATTGGGAGTCGATTCCCCAAACCCGTCAGCGGGTTTGGGAGTCGAATCCTCAAAAATTTTAAATAAAAAAAAACAAAACCCCCGGAGGGGGACGGAGTCGATGCCCCAAAACCCAGTGGGTTTTGGGGGTCGGCGAGCCAAAAAGGGCCCTCGATGGCCGGGATGATTCCTCCCGGCCGTCGAGGATGTACATGTACACCTTCGACGGCCGAGAGAAACCCTCCCGGCCGTCAAGGATGTACACCTTCGACGGCTGAGAGAAACGCTCCCGGCCGTCGAGGATGTACACCTTCGACGGCCGAGAGAAACACTCTCGGCCGTTGACGGTGTACACCCTCTAAAACCGAGA